CCGGGGACCCCCCCCCCCCCATCGCGACGATGCAGCCTCGGCGGGTCCCCCCCCCCCCCAGGAGGAGGAGGCAGCCTCGGCGGAGCGTTCACTCCTGGCGGCGGCGTCGAACGCGGAGGAGGGCGACGGCGAAGACCCGCGCTCCCCCGGCGCGGGCACCGAGCGCGGATCCACCGACGTGCCGATGACGCTCTCGCCGTCCTCGAACGCGGGGTCGAGCGCGAACGCGAACGCGAGCGCGAACGCGGTCGAGGAGGCGACGCGAGCCGCGGAGGAGCTGTACGAGTACGAGCGAGAGCAGGACGAGGACGCGGCGGCGGTGGACGACGACATCGACGCCGCGGTCGCCGCCGCGGGCGCGGAGATCGACGCCTTCCTGGCGGACGCCATGCCGTTCGAAGGCGACGACGACGACGACGACGCGGACGTCGACGACGACGACGTCTCGCCGACGCAGATCGCCGCGAAAGAGGCCGAAACGAATTCCGCGACGGAGCAGCACGCGCGCGCGAAGGCGGCGCTCGCGTCGCTCACCGAGCGTCTGCGGCGAGTGGACGACGAGCTGGGAGAGTTGGAAGGCGACCGCGACCGCGTCGTCGCCGCCGCGGAGGATTTGGGCGGCCTCGGCGTCGAGCCCGCGGAAGGCGCGGTCGACATGGGCCAAGCCCTCGACGCGACCATCTCGTCGCTGCCGAAGCGCAGGAACTTGACGCGCGAGGCGAGCGAGTTCGAGACGGAGATCGAGAAGCGACGCGCGGAATCGGAGCGGCTGAGACGCGACGTCGCCGTCGCGCGCGAGGAGCTCACCGAGGCGGAGAACAATCTCGCGCAGCTCGCGGCGCGGAGCGATCGCGTCGCCGCGCCGCGAGAGAAGCGAGACGCCGCGGAAGCCGCCGAGTCCGACGCGCGCGACGCCGCCGCGGTGCGCGCGTACGCCGCGAAGAAGCGCGACGCGGAGACGCGGCGCGCGGTGGCGGCGGAGATGGTGCGAGAGAAGGAGCGCGCCGTCGTCGCCGCCGCGAGGGCGTCGCGGCGGGACGCGTACCGCCGCCTGGGCGAGAAGCTTTCCGTCGCGCGCGCGCAGCTGGAGGTGTTTGAACGCATGAGAAATGCGCGTTACGAAGAGAAAGTGAACGGGTTGATCGAGCTGAAGGACGCCACGGACGCGGCGCTGAAGGGGGTGGCGCGATACGTCGGCGCGAAGCGCGCCGCGCACGAGGCGAGACGCGCGGCGCAGCGGCGCGAGGCGAAGGAGCTGCTCATCGCGGGCGAGAACCCGCACTTGGTGTTTCGAGCGAGGGAAGAGAACCACAGGCTGGCGGCGCAGCGGAAGCGGAACGCGAAGACGATCGAGACGAACCGAGCGGAGATTTCGCGCCGATTGGAGAGGGACGAGACGCGTTATCGCGAGAATTTGGAAATCAAGCGTCTGGCGCGCGAGAAGGACGAGAAGTTCAGCAGAGCGTACGGCGAGGCGAGCAAAGCGGCGAAGATACGCGCGTACATGCAGAACGCGGTCGGCGTGTCGGATCTGTTGGACCCGACCGGGACGGAGACGATCTATCCGTCCGACGTGTCGCGCGCGAAACCGCGAGGGTTCGGACTCGCGACGGGCGCGGGCGCGGACGCGGCGACGCGCGCGCGCGTCGCCGCGAGGCACCCGGACGCGAACCTCGACGCGAGCGGTCTCATGACGACTGAAGAGCGGTTCATGCTGCGGACGTTCCCGGACGGCGACGGCACCGGCGAGGTGTTCGATCGGACGCTGGGCGAGACGGGGGCGGATTGGCGCGCGTTCGCGACGACGCGCGACTTCTCTCCGGACGACGGCGACGGTTCGGATCCCGAGCCGGGAACGGAGGACCCGGACGTCGCGGAGTGGCGGCGGATACGGAAAGGCGTCGTCGCGCTCGAGAACGCGCGGCTGTACGCGAACGGTGCGTTCTATACACTGGTCCCCATACGACCGCGTTGGCGAGGTGGACGCCGATCCTTAAGGACTTTGCCTGGCGTCTCTCTCTGCCCACCCCTCGCTTTCAATCCCCGTCCTCGACGCCTTTCAACTCCAACTGACGCCTATGAACTCCACCCCGACATCGCTTTGTAGCGCGGGAAAACTTCGCGGACCCGGCGCGTCTGTACAAGCCGCAAAAGGTCTGCGGCCGCGAGTTCAGAGGCGACTCGTTCGAGTCCAACCCGCGCGTGATCGTCTTCCGCGACTTCGTCCCCGGGGAGACGTACAGGCAGCGCGTCTCGATGACGAACGTGTCGTACGGCAAGTGCGCGTTCAAGATCAAGCACCTCGACATGGACCCCGCGTTCGCGGGGTTTTTCGAGTTTGAATACGACTACCCCGGGAGGATACCCCCGGGGATGTCGCGCGGTGCGTCCTATACACTGGTCCCCATACGACCGCGTTGGCGTGGTGAACGCCGATACTTAAGGACTTTGCCCGGCGCATCTCTCCGCCCACCCCTCGGTTTCAATCCCCACCCTCGATGCCTTTCAGCTCCAACTGACGCCTTTCAACTCCACCCCGACGTCGCTTTGTATGGAACGACCCTCAGATGTCGTGATCGCGTTCGCGCCGACGGCGGCGACGTCGTTCGTCACGTCCATCCCGGTCGCGACGAGCACGGGACCGATTCACCTCCCCGTGGAGTGTCACCCGCGCGTCGCGGACGTGTTCACGACCACGCCGGTGATTGATTTCGACGAGGTTGTCGTCGGCGAGTGCGGGAGCTTGATCGGCGAGCTCGAAAACGCGGGCGGCGTGCCGACGCCGTTTAAGGTGCTTCCGGTTCGAGGACGACGGAGCCGGTACGCGGCGGAGAGCGACGCGCCGCCGCCGCCGAGCGAGCAGTTCGCGGTGCGCGTCAAGGGCGTCGGGAAGGCGGCGAAGGAGGGCGGGAAAGCGCTGCGCGAGGGCGTCGTCCCGGGGTTTGGCAAGGCGCTTCTCAGCGTGCGATTTTACCCGAAAGCGATCGGGGACGTCGAGGAAGAGATCGTCGTGAGGCTCGGCGAGCCGCTCAACCGCGACGTCGTGATGAGCGTCCGCGGCCGCGGCGGCGCGGTGCCCGTGCACTTGAACGGTCGCGACGTGTGCGACTTCAAGTCCATCGCGATCGGGTGCAGTTACAGGGACGCGATCGTCGTGTACAACGACGGCGGCGCGGCGGCCAAGTGCGTCGTGAAAATTCCAAAGGAGCTCAGAGGCATCGCGGAGGTCGTCCCGAACGACTTCGTCTTCGTCCAGGGCCGATCGCACGCGGTGTTCTCGCTCAAGATCACGCCCACCGACGACACGCTGGAGCGGTGCGCGAAGTGGCGAAGTGACGCGGGCGCGGGGCAGCTCGCGATTCCCATGCGCGTCGCCGTGCCAACGCAGTCTGCGCCCGTGCGATTCACGCTAAAGTGCGCGCCCACGGGGAGCGCGCTGCTGTTCGATCCGCCGCGGCTCGACTTCGGGCGCGTCCCCGCGGGGGAGACGTCCATCGTGCGTCTGAAGGTGACGAACTCCGGGGCGCTGTCGCAGCGCTTCGGCGTCGTCGGTCTGCCGAGCGACGTGACAGTGGAGCCCGGGAGCTTCGGGGAAATTTTGGGCGGCGAGACGGTGGTCCTCGACGTGCGATACTCGCCGATCGCGGCGGTGTATCCGCCGAAAGAGTTCGAGTTCACGCTCAAGTCGCTCCTCGGCGGCAAGACGTACACCGCGCCGTGCGTGGGCTCGTCGTACGACCCGCCGTTGACGTTTCCAGTGGGGAACGTGATCACGCTGCCGCCGACGGCGGAGCGCGAGCGCGTCGTCGGAAGCGTCGTCGTGAGAAACCGAGGGAAGCACGAGGAGACTTTCGAGGTGTTCACGCCGGAGGACGCGTCGGATGCGCTGCACGTGACGCCCCGGGTCGCGACGTTGCGGCCCGGGGAGGGGTGCCGCGTAGAGGTGGAGTACTGCCCGCCGGCGGGGTCGCTCGCGGGGAGGAGGAGGTTGAGAGAAGAGGAGGAGGAGGAAGAGGGCGGCGGCGACGCGGCGGCGGATGGCGACGCCGGCGAGGACGGCGCGGCGGCGGCGGATGGCGAGGCCGGCGAGGACGGCGCGGCGGCGGCGGATGGCGAGGCGGGCGAGGACGGCGCGGCGGCGTCCTCGCCCGCGCGTCCGAAGACGCCGCCGCGCCTGCGCGAACCTCGCCACGACGTTTGGCGCCTCCCGGTGTACGTGCGGGACAACTCCGAGCGCGCGGCGATGGACGCCGCGGACGCGGGCGCGCTCCCGAGCGCGTGGAAGTCGTCGCCGTCGCACGGCCACGGGGAACTCGTGCAACACGTGGAGGTGCGCGCCGTCACCCGCGCCTCCGCGGTTACGGTCGAAAACCTCCCGGAAGTCGACGACGCCGCGGAGCTGACGTACGTCATGGACTTCGAGCACACCGCGGTCGGGGACCGGAAGCTGATGCCGCTGATCCTCCGGAATCACAGCGAGAGCGACGTTTACGTCGGCAGCGACACGCCGTGGGGCGCGTTCACCGTCGTGAGCGCGTTTCGATCAGTCGCGCCCGGGTCGTCGGAGACGGTGTCCATGGAGTTCGCGCCCACCGAGGAGCTCGCGTACGAGGAAACGTTCACGGTGAAGACGTCCATGCGCGCGATCAGAGTCCTGCTCAAGGGGGTCGGGACGAGCCCGTTCTTGAGCGTGACGCCCGAGGACGTCGTCGACGTCGGCGACTGCGCGCCCGGGGAGACGTCGCGCGTCGCGATGACGGTGACGAACCCGACGGCGTTTCGGCAGCCCTTCGTCGTCGGCGTGCGCGACGTCTCGCACCCGGGCGCCACGAGCCGAGTGCCGTTCGTCGTCTCCCCCGGCGGCGGGCACCTCGACCCGGGCGCGAGCGCGGAGATCGACGTCAGCTTCGCGCCGGACCGCGCCGGGAGATACGGCGCGACGAGCCAGTTTACGGGGGTCATTTTTGTCGCCGTGCCGAGCCTCGCCGCGGAGACGACGCTGACGCTGCGCGCGCGGTGCTGGGACCGAGGCGCGTACCTCGTCGGCGTGGACGACGCCGCGGAGCTCGAGATGGTGGACGCGCGAGGCACCGGCGCGATCGGCGTCGCCGCGACGCGAGCGTTTCTGCCGCGCGACGGCGACGCGTTGCGCGCGCCGCCGCCGCCGCCGCGCGACGACGAGCGACTGACGTTGACGCTCGCGGGTCTCTGCCGCCCGGGCGAGTCCGTCGGTGGCGTCGTCCACGTCGGCGCGCTGAGGGGCGACGCGGGCGGGGAGTACGAGATCGAGGCGTTCGGCGACGACGCGATCACGCGCGGGTGGAGCGTGGACGCGCCCTCCGGCGCCGTCGCCGCCGGCGAGCGCGTCGCCGTCGCGTTTACGTTTGCGCCGCCGGAAAAGGTGCGGCCCGGGGATCTCGCGTGGTTCGGGCTGAAGGAGTGGGTGACGACGACGACGCGCGTGACGCTGAAGGGCGGCGATCCCGCGCACGAGGATGACGGGAAGGCGATCACGCTGACGTTGCGGTGCGAGCTCACACCGTGGAAGCCGGGGGAGAGGGAGGCGGTGGAGGCGGAGCGACGCGTGGCGGAGGAAGCCGCGGCGGCGGCGGAGGCGGAGGCGGCGGCGGCGGCGGCGGAGGGCGTCGAGGGCGGTTCCCCGCAGAAGAGCGAGGCGGCGGCGGAGTGAGCGGCGAGCGCCTGACTGGCCTGACTTCGCGCGGCAGGGCAGTAGAAACGCGGGCGCGCGCGCAGTAGTGGTGATATATCGATGTTACCGAACCAGCACCCTCTCTCTCTTCGCGAATTCCGTCGCGTCGAGTTCACATCACTTTTTGTCCTTGTGCTCCTTTTGCTCCGACAGATCCAACAACAGCGAGTCCGCGTTCAACATCACGCGGTTGTTGCTCTCGCTCATCGTCTGCGCGATCTCTCTCGCGGCCTCGATCCTCCTCAACGTGATGAACGCCGGGTTCGACGCGATCGCGTCTCCGATCATCTTCGCCGACTTCGCCTCGCCCTCCGCCCTGATCACCGCCGAACGCTTATCCTGCCTCGCCTTCTCGACGATAAACTTCGCGCGTTCCGCGTCCTGCTGCGCCACCTGCTTCGCCTCGATCGCGGCCGTGTACTCCCTCCCGAACGTCAGCGCCGTGATCGAGACGTCGTCGAGGATGATGTCAAACTGCTTCGCGCGCTCGATGAGTTTACTCCGGATGGACGCGCTCACCATCTCTCGTTGGGTGATGAGCTGACTCGCGTTGTACTGCGCGACGACGGACTTGAGCGTCTCGTGAATGATCGACGGGAGCACGCGCTCGTTGAAGTCCGTCCCGAGCCTGCGGTAGATCTCCGGGAGTTTCGTCGCGTCCGGTCGCGTGAGGACGCGCAGCGATATGTTCACCATCTGAAGATCTTTGCTGCCCGAGTTGCTCGTGACCTGATGCGCGCGCGCGCGGACGTCGTAGTTGATCGGCCGCTCGAACCACGGGATCATGAGGTGCGTGCCCTCTTGGTAGATCTGCGCGCGCGAGTTGGGGAGGGGGCGGGAGGGTCAGATCGAGAAGGTGGGTGGGTTTCACGCGCGCGGGGGGGCGATCGACCGCGCGTGGGGGGGCGGCGCGACGGACGCGGTTCCGGAAGATCTGGGAATTCGGCGCCGAATGAATTCCTCGGAATCGTCGCGCGCGACGGGACGCGCGGACGCGCGCCGTCGACGCGATCGCCTCCGCGCGCGTCCCGTCGCGGCATCTCGCGGCGCGCGCGAACCTCGAACGACGCCGCCATGCCGCGCGAAGGAGAGAGGCGTCCATCGCGGCGCGAAGGCGCGGCCGCCGCGCGATCCGATCCGCCGATCTCGTCGCACCTTTTGCTTCACGCCGGAGACGCGGTTGTACACGATCGCGCGGTGCCCGCCCTCGACGTTGAACAGGCCGTTGTACAGGCCGTAGACGCCGACGGAGCCGTACAGCGCGGTCTGCACGACGCCGGATATCACGCTCGCGCTCGGGAGCTTGACGTTCTTGAGGTTCTGCATCGTGGCAGAGGCGGAGACGTGCGACGCGCCGCGCGCAGTGATCGAATCGTGACGTCATTTGACGGAATGGCGGAAGCGCTCAGCGCGGAAAACGACCGCCCGCGCGTTCGTCGCGTCGTCAGTGATGTGGGCGCCGCGGCAGGGCGGGGAGAGCACGAGCTTCAAGTTCAACTTCGGCGGCGACGGCGGCGGCGAAGACGCGGACGACGACGCCGCCGCCGCCGCCGCCGCGCGCGCCCCCGCCGCGGACGTCGTCCGCGGCGTCGTCGTGGACGCGGCCGACGTGCCGCACCCCGCGCCCGGATGGATCAGAGAGGACGTGCGCGTCGAGCTCGGACGCGACGGCGAGTGCGCGACGTTCATCAAGGGCGCGAGCAGCGGAACGGCGGCGGCGCTGAAGCTCCGTGGCGCGCGCGAGGACGTCGCGGACGCGGACGTCGTCAAGGGGAAGTACGAGGGCGGGTTCAAGCTGTGGGAGTGCGCAGTCGACCTCGTGCGATTTATCATGACGCTCCCTGAGGAGGAGGAGGAAGACGACGCGTCCGCGTCCGCGTCCGCGTCCGCGTCGCCGTCGCTCTCGCTCTCGCTTCTCCGCGGCGCGAGCGTGCTAGAGCTCGGGTGCGGGCACGGCCTCCCCGCGATCGCGGCCGCGACGCGCGGCGCAAAGCGCGTCGTCTTCGCGGACTACAACCCGGAGGTGCTGTCGTCGTTGACGATTCCTAACGTCCGCGCCAACTTCGCACAGCTGTATGATGCGGCGAATGCGGCGGCGGCGCCTCCGCCGTCCACGTCGTTCGTCGGCGGCGACTGGTCCGACCTCCCTCGCTTCGTGCCGCGCGCGTCCGCGGACGTCGTCCTCGCCGCGGAGACGATCTACGCGCCGGAGTCGTACGACGCGCACGTCGCCGCGTTGACGCACGCGATGAAGGCGCGTTCGCATTCACACTGGTCCCCATACGACCGCGTTCGCGTTGTGAACGCCGTTCCTTAGGGACTGTATCTCCCGACGGTCGTCTCTCTCCGTCCAGGGTCCCTCGGTTTCAATCCCGACACGCCGCGACGCCTTTCAACTCCTCCGACTGACGCCCTTCGACGCCACCCCCACGTCGCTTCCTACGGGTAATCACCCCGAAGCCGCCCGACGGCGTCGCGTTGATCGCGGCGAAATCGCACTACTTCGGCGTCGGCGGCGGCACCGCGCTGTTTAAGACCGCGTGCGAGAAGACCGGGGTGTTCGCGGTGAGGACCGCGCGCGAGTTCAGCGACGGCGCGTCGAACGTGCGCGAGATTTTGGTGGTGACGTTCAAGCGATGACGAACGAGAGGCGACGGCGCGTAGCACTCTTAGTTGTAGCGTACAGTACGTGTACACGTAGTCGATGATAAATACGATTAGCGAGGCGAAATGCTAGCATTACAAAAACCGTTCCTCCTCGACGCGACGTCAGAACGGCACGGAGCGCTGCTGCCTTTCCCGGTCCGCGAGTATCCTCGCCGCGTCGTCGCCGGTCACGCGCTTCACCCCCGGGAGGTAGTTCCTCCCCCCCATGCACTGTCCTTCCGTCCTCGGACAGTACGCGTCCAAGAACTTCAAGATGGCCATCCTCCGGTGCGAAAACGACGCCTGCTTCGCGTACGACATCTCTCCGAACGTCTGCGGGTCGAAGCGACCGACGTCGTCGGGGCGGGCGGGCGGCGTTCGGGGGCGCGTCAGACGGAGTCGCGAGGCGTCGAGGAGGACGAGCGTTTAAAGCGGCGAGGGACCCTGGGCGGAGAGAAACGCAAGTGAAGTCCTTAAGGATCGGGGTTCACCACGCCGACGCGGTCGTACGGGGACCGGTGTGGGAACCGGCGGGCGTTAGAATGAACGCACCTGGTCGTACCCCGCGGGCGTGAACACCGAGTTCCACGACGCCTTGCCGTGCATCACGCTCCCGCGCGGCGGCCCGCTGATGCACCCGACGAGCTCGCCGACGAACGTCCGCGCGTTCTTGATGGATTCCTCCCAGTGGAACCTCCCGCCGCGGAGGTCGATCGCCGCGAGCGTGCACGTGACGAGGCACGAGCGGTCTTCGTATCGCGAGCACAGGTTCCACAGCCCCTCCGGTCCGACGCGCTCGAGCATGGACTTGCAGTAGGGTCCGGGGAAGCCGTTCAGGCACTGCAGCGCGAGGCCGACGTCCTCGGTGACGAGGAAGTCCGCGCCTGGGAGGGAGGGACGGACGACGGGACCGGAGGGGTGTCGCGTCGGTCGGCGAGAGAGAGGAGGCAGGGCGAGACATGATTTGAACGGCGACGACGAGCGAACGGCACCGTCGAGACGACGCGCGCCGACGCGAGCGGCGACCACCGCGGACGCGAGGGAGGCGAAGCGCGCGCACCCTCGAGGACTTCCCGCCCGCGTCCGGTCTCGTGGAAGATCTTCACCGCCTCCTTCACCTTCCTCGTCGCGATCTCAACCTGCGAGCCCTGCACCTCGACCGGGTCCGCGTCCACGCGCTGGATCTCGACCCATCGAAGCTTGTCCACGTCCGCGCCGAGCGTGTTGTACTCGTCGATGACGCACTTCGCCTCCGCGAACTTCCCGTGGTTCCCGGTGCAGTACAGGATCTTGAACGGCTTGTCCGCCATGACGGCGCGCGCGCGAGAGTGGCGGACGGCGCGGCGAGCGAGCACTCTGTTCATCAGTCGCGTGATGGAATCGCAAACGACGTCAGATTTTTCATAAGAAACGTATGACGGAAGCGCTCACGGTGACGACGACGACGACGCGACGACTCGACTCGACTAGCACAGCGACTCCGGATCGACGTCCGTCTCCTCGCGACTCGCGAGATCCTTCACTCGCACTTTCCCTTCCGCCCACTCCTTCTCCCCCAGCAGCACGACCCTCGCGGCGCCGCTCCGCTCCGCGTGCTTGAACACCCACTTCGGCTTCTTCCCGTCCTCGATCACCAAATCCACCCGCCGCCCCGCCTTTCGAAGCCTCGCCGCGATCGCCATCGCCGCCGGCCGCAGCGCCGCGGTCATCGGATACACGAGGTCGTCCACGCACCCGGTCTTCAGCGACTCGGGAAGCAAGCCGCGGTCGTTCACGAGCTCCATGATGACCGCGTCGCCGAACCCGAACCCGACCATCGATCGGTCCTCGCCGCCGAGCGCGCCGAGAAGTTTGTCGTACCGACCGCCGCCGCAGATCGCTCGCAGCTCCCCGGCGCGGTCGAACCCCTCGAACACGACGCCGGTGTAGTACGACAACCCTCGGACGACGGACGCGTCGAAGACGAGCCAGTCCGCGTACCCGTACGCCTCCGCGTGCGAGAAGAGCGTCGTGAGATCCTTCACCGCGTCGGCGTCGGCGCCGAGCAACGCGGCCAGGTCGTCGATGGTTTTCATCTGAGAGTAATTGTCCATACGAGCGATGATATCGGGGTGGAGTCGAAAGGCGTCAGAAGCGGAGTTGAAAGGCGTCGAGATGGGCGTGTCGGGATTGAAACCGAGGGACCCTGGGCGGAGAGAGACGAACGCCGGGAGAGAAAGTCCTCAAGGAATGAAGTTCACGACGCGAACGCGGTCGTACGGGAACCAGTGCGAATGAATCAGAACGCACCTCCATCGCCGCGAGGATGCCGTCGATGGCGTCCTCCGTCACGCCCAACCCGGCGAGCTCCTCCACGATCTTCTCGCGCGGGAGCTTCTCGATCTTGTCCACGACGACGCAGACGGGCGCGAACGACGCCTCCGGGACGTCGTACCGCGTCAGCACGGCTTGGAGCACCTTCCTCGACGACACCTTGAGGCCGACGTCCGCGGACGTGATGCCGAGCCGCGTGAAAAACTCCACGATCGCCGCGAGGAGCTCCGCCTCCGCCTCCACGCCGTCGACGCCGACGATGTCCATGTTCCACTGGTAGTGCTCGCGCCTTCGCCCGCGCGTCATGCGCTCGTACCGCCAGCACTGACCGATCGCGAACCACTTGGCGGGGAGCGCGAGCGATTTCCCCTGCTGCAAGATGAGCCGCGCGAAGCTCGGCGTGAGCTCCGGTCGAAGCGCGACGCGCCGGTTGCCCTTGTCCTCGAAGTTGTACAGCTGCGTCGTGATCTCCTCGCCCGCCTTGCGGACGTACAGCTCCTCGGTCTCGAGCACGGGCGCGTCCCACTCCTCGAACCCGAACGTCCGCGCGACGTCGCGAAAGTGGCCGAACAGCCAGTTCCGCACGCGCATCTCCTCGGGGGCGAAGTCGCGCGTCCCCTTGGGCGGCTGCAGGTCGATCATCTTCTTCCGCGCGCCGTCCGACGACGCGCGGTCCGGGGACGTCGTCGTCGTCGAGCGGCCGCCGCCCGCGGACGCCGCCGCCGGCCCCGCGCGGATTTGCGACGTGCTGAAAAGTCGGCGGCGCGCGAGCGACGGCGACGACGACGGCGACGACGGCGACGACGGCGCGACGCGCGCGGCGGACGCGGCGCGGCGCGCGCTGAGGAGCGAGCGGAGCGTCGTCGGCGCGCGCAGCATCGCCCTCGGATGCGCGGTGAGCATCCTGCCTGGGGGTGAGGGGGCTGCGCGGAGGCAATGGGTGGGGGGGGGGGCGACGTCACGGCCGCTGTCGTCATCCTCATCAGCCTTATCGTTTACCCGCGGGCGCGATCGCGTCCGCGTCAGAAAAAAGTTACCCCGCGCGGCATCGCGCGCGCCATTCGCACGCACGACGCGCACGCCGACGCCTCGCCCGTCGCGCACGCCACGCCAAACGCTCTAACGCGCACGCATCGCATCGCTCGCCGCGCGCGCTCGCTCGCCGCGACCTCGAACACCCCAGCCCGGCGCCAGATCCGGACTGTTCAAACCGCGTCGCGAACGCGTCGGTTGTTAATATAAATATCCCGATGAACGCCGCGCTGCTCTCCTCCGCGCGCGCGCTGACGACGCCGCGCGCGCTCCGCGGACGCTCGCTCGCGTCGACGCGCGTTTCGTCCGTCCGCGCGTCAGGAGCGCGCGCGATGGCGGCACCCGCGAAGGGCACGAAGGTGATCGTCCAAGGCAGGCACCTCGAGATCACCGAGGCGATCCGCGACTACTGCGAGCAGAAGATCAACAAGGCGGTCTCGCACTTCGACATGCACGACGTCCGCGAGGTGGACGTCACGTGCAGCGCGCGCTCGGAGAAGCAGCAGGGCGGGGATCTGCAGATGACCCAGGTCACCGTCTACACGCGCAACGGCGTCGTGCGCTCCGAGGAGGAGGCGGACAACCTCTACGCGTCCATCGACGCCGTGAGCGACAAGATCGAGCGCAAGCTGCGAAAGATCAAAGAGAAGAAGAACAGCAAGAAGGCGGGGAAGACGAAGGCGAACCCGAAGGCGCAGACCGCGGACATCGTCGCCGCCGCCGCGGAGGCGGATGAAGCGCGCGCGGATGAGATCGAGTTCGAGGAAACCGTGGGGGTCAAGTACATGGCGGTGAAGACCTCCACGGCGATGGAGGCTGCCGAGGAGATGGAGTCCTTGGGTCACGTGTTCTACGCGTTCAAGAACAAAGCGAACGGCGGGGAAGTGAACGTGGTGTACAAGCGCGACGCGGGCGGGTACGCCGTGCTCGTGCCCGTGGACATGGACGAAAACTAAACTGAACCGAGCGGAGGATCGGCTTCGATTCGGTCGGTCGCGCGCCCCGCGCGAGACGCGAGCGTGAGACCTCCGTCTGTCGTGTGTTCATCATACTGTATTGCGAATATCACACCACTACCGAGTTCGTTCGCGTCAGACGTCAGACGTATCGAAACAGCTCCCCCAACCGCGTGATCGGCTCCCCCTCGTGTCCGACCCGGACGACCGTCGACGACGTCGACGCCCCCGGCGACCGCGGCGGCGACGCGCACGTCACCCTCTTCTCGTCCGCATCCGTCGCGTCCACCCAGATCGCCGCCGTCTTCGACCCGAAGAGACACCCCGACCCTCTGCCGTCCGCCGCGCCGAGCCAGTTCCCGTGCACGACGACCGTCGTCCCCCCCGCCGCGGGCCCGTAATCCGGCTCGATGGACGCGATCTCCGCCTGCTTACACGTCGCGCTCAACTCGTCCGCCCAGTCCGGGAGCGGACAGAAGAACGGGTTCTGCCCGAGGTTGACTACGCGGTCGTGGTAATCCGCGGGACGGTCGTGCCGCGCGGGCAGACGCGGGATCGCGCCCTCGCCGCCCTCGCCGTCGTCTAGCGTCTCGTCCCACAGCGTGTCCGGCAGGCGGCCGGTGAGCTTGTTGTGCGACAGGTCGCTCTCGCGTAGGCAGGGGTGCGTCGCGAGCCACGGCGGGACGGACCCGGTCAGCTGGTTCTGGTCGAGCTTGAGCTTGCGGAGCAGCGGGAGAGACTCGAGCGACGGCGGAATCGCGCCGACGAGCGCGTTCATCGAGAGCGTCAGCTCCGCGAGCTCCGTCGCGTTCGCGAGCGCGCTCGGGATCTCGCCGACGAGCGCGTTTTGCGAGAGGTCTAAGCGCGCCAGGGCTTCGCCGTCGCCGAGCTCGGGGGGGATTCCGCCGACGAGTCTGTTCCCTTGCAGTTGCAGCGACGCGAGCTTCGGCATCGATCCGAACTGGCTCGGGATCGTCCCCGCGATGGCGTTGAAGTGCGCGTGGAATTCCACCAAGTGCTTCGCCTCGAGCAGCGCGGCGGTCGGCAGAGGGCCGGTGAGTCGGTTCCCTTCCAGATAGAGGTGCTTCAGGAGCGGCAGGTTCGTGAGGTACGCGTCTGGGATCGGGCCCTCGAACGCGTTTTGATGCATGATCACCGCGCGCAGCGTCGGAATCTTCGGAAGTATCGACGGCAGCTTCCCCTCGAACTTGTTCCGAGAGAGGTCCAGGTACTCCAGCTTCGAGAGGCGCTCGAACGAGCTCGGGAGCTCGCCCTCGAGCTCGTTCGAGCCCAGGTCCAAGGTTTCGAGCTCGGTCAGCTCCGCGATCGCGCGCGGGACGTCGCCTTCGAACGCGTTTTGACCCAGCCGGAGATGTTTCAACTTCTTCAGACGCGTGATCGCCTCCGGCACCGGCCCGGAGAGCTTGTTCTGCGACAGGTCCAGGAGCCGCAAGTTCTCGCACTGAACGATCGACTCCGGGACCTCGCCGGCGAGCCCCGTGTTCGAGAGCGTGAGCTCCTCGAGGTTTTTCAGCTCGCCGATCCAGGATGGAAATTTTCCCTTGACGTCGTTGTTTCCGCGGAGCGACAGCCGCGTGAGCGACTTCATCCCCGCCCACTCGCTCGGTATCTTGCCGGACAGCTTGTTCTTCACCTCTAACCCGCTCTCGCCGAGGTACAGAACCTCCAGCGATTTCATCTTCCCCATGCTCTTCGGCAGCGACCCGCTCAGGTCGTTCGCGCTCAGGTCTAAGTGACGCAAGTTCGTCAGCCGTCCCATCTTGTTACTGAGGTGCCCGGAGATTCGATTAGACGACAACACGAGCGACTGGAGCTTCGTCATCCCGTACAGCTCGTCCGGTATCTTCCCGCTGAATAAGTTATCGCTCAGGTCCAAGTACACGAGCTCGTCGAGCTTCGCGAGCGCGGTGAGGTTAAACTGTCCCATGCACGCGACGTTGTTCAGATTCATCCACAGCTCCGTGACTCGGCCGCCGTGACACACGACGCCGTGCCAGCCGTTCGCGCACGGCTCTCCGACGCCCCAATTCTGCTGCACGCTCCACCGAAGCCCGTTGCACTGCTCGTAAAACTCCTCGAGCGCTCTCTTATCCGAGGACGTCGGCACGAGCGCGTACCCCTCGTCCGTCGCCGCGGGTAAAATCTGCACCGTGCCGTCGTCGGTCCACCGCCTCGGTCGATGCTCCGGGCGACCGACGCCGACGCCGCCGCCCCACGCGTGCCTCCACGTGTCGCCCCATCGCATCGCCTTCCCGGTCTGCGGGTTGACGTACGCCGTGGCCTCTTTCTTGAGCTGCTCCATCATCTCCACCGCGGCCTTATCGACGAACGTGCTCTCGTCCATCGCCTTGCGCGGGAGGGTCGCGACGCCGCCGCCGCCGGTTTCGGTTTCGGTTTTTTTTTCCAACGAAGACGCCTTCTTCGACGCCGCCGCCGCCGCCGCCGCGTCGCCGCCGCCCGAGGACGCGACTACGCCGTCGCCGCCGCCGACCGCGGGCATCTCCGCGGCGTACGAGGACGCGTCGTCGTCGTCGTCGTCGTCGTAATCGATCGCGCGCCGCGACTTCGCTTTGCCGCCGCGGCTTCCCGAGAGCATCGCTTTGATCTTTCGATTCGTCTCGTTCGGCTTCCTCGGCGGCCGCGCGTTCGCGGCGATGCGCGCCGGGAGCTGGTACCGGAGGAAGTACTCCTCGTACTTCTTCAAGTTCCTCTCCTGGGTGGACGACGACGACGACGACGACGACGACGAAGACGCCGCCGCCGCGCACGCGCCCTCGCTCGCGTCGCACGTCGCGTCGGCGTCGGCGTCGCGCGCGTCGAACATCGATCCTCCGTCGAGCGACGACGGAGGCTCGACGTCGTCCGCCTGCCAGATCCCGTCGCTCAGCAGCCCCGCGGCCGCGGGGCCGCCGGGTGCGAGCTCCTTGAGCGCGCGCTCCGCGGCGATGAGGTGCGGCGGGAGCTTAGGCTGCGGGGACGACGACGGATGGGGGGGGTGAGATCGCGACGAACGATCGTTCGATGGATCCATCGATCGGCGGGAAACAAACAACGCGACGATGAATTCCCGCGCCGCGTCCGCGCGCGCGCACCTTCGAGTACAGCCGCGGTCTCGGCCGCGGCCCGAACGCGTCCGCGGGCGCGGCGACGTGCAGAAGGACCGCGACGCATATCGCCGAGAGCCAACCGAGGCGCGGCATCGTGGGCGCGTCGTGCTGCTCGACGGGACTGTGGCGACGAGGCCGCGGGGCGGCGGTGTTCTTTCACGCCAGCGCCATGCGCGAGTTCGAAAACGACAGCCGGCGCGCGAAATCTGGGCACCCTCAGAGATCTGCCGCACACCGCCCCCGAGACCTCTCGCGTCATCACGACGCGACGCGCGCGGGACGCGGAGGCGTCTCGACGCGCGGGCGGGCGCGATGTATAAGTTCTTCAAGCCGGACGGGAAGTCCAAGCCCGGGGGCGGCGGAGGGTCGGGGAGACGCCGCGTCGAGATCGAGGCGGACGACGACGGCTGGAGAACGACCCCGCGCGAGGCCGACGCCGCGCCGCCGCCGGAGAGGTGGACGGACGACCGCCCGCGCAAGGACTCGAGCGAGGCCAGACAAGACTGGTCCGGCGACGCGCGCTTCCGCGAGCTCCGCGACCGCGACGGCGGAAGACGTCGCGGCGCGGAGGACGAGACCGTGATGCCGTCGAGCGATCGCTTCGGCGACGAAATGACGAACGTCGTCTTCAAGCGCGCGCGAAGCCACGGAAAGTGCCTCGCGAAGCCGCAAATGCCGACGCGCGGGAACGGCATACCCATGGGAGGCGTCGTCGTGCACTTCCCCGCGGGCTTGACCCCGCACGTCCCGCAGAAGATCACGATGAGCAAGGTGATCGCGGCGCTGCAAAAGCGACAAAACGCGCTCGTGGAGTCGCCCACGGGGACGGGCAAGTCGCTCAGCCTCCTGTGCAGCGCGCTCGCGTGGCAAGAGGCGAAGAAGCGCGAGGTCGCGGAGGAGAACGAGCGCGTCCGCGAGAGGAACACGACGCGGATGAACGCGTATCAAGACGCGCTGCTCGCGTGGACCCGCGGGGAGGAACCGCCCGCGCCCGCGCCCGCCGGCACAGCTGGCGCCGACGCCGACACAGCTGGCGCCGGCGCGCCGCTCGAGCCCGTCGCGAGCGCGGACCTCCAACAGAAGATGGAGACGTCCGCGCACGTGAAGAACGAAGACGGCGTCGTCGCGCCGGCGAGGCGCGGGGGCGGGGGCGGGGGCGGGGTTGAGGACGAGCCCGGCGCGGGTGGCGGCGAAGAAGAAGAGGAAGAAGAAGAAGAAAAAGACGTTTCCGCGCCCGGCGCCGCCGTCAAACGCGAACGCGTCGACGGGTTCGCCCTCGCGTGCGGCTCCCCCGACGTCTCCGTGCACGTGCTGAGGGAAGAAGACGCGCCCGCGATCGAGAGCGACCACTTCGAGCGGTTTCGCATGGGCTCGGCGGCGAAGATCGAGCGTCGCGAGGAGGGCGCGTCGGTCGAGTTGAAACCGGAGTTGAAACCGGAGTTGAAACCGGAGTTGAAACCGGAGGCGCTCCTCTCCGCGGGCCACGGGACGTTCCCGCCTCTGAAACAGCCCGGTCAGAGAGGCCCGATGCCCGCGCGACCGGAGATCGAACCGCTGAAGGCGACGCCGAAGATATACCTGTGCTCGAGGACGCACTCGCAGCTGCACCAGCTCGTGAAGGAGCTGAAGCGCACGCCGTACCGACCGCGATACACGATTCTCGGCTCGCGTCGGCAGTATTGCCCCATACGTAAAACCGACGAAGAGTGCATGGAGCTCACAAAGGATAAAGCGCGGCGCCCGGACGGGACGCAGTGCTCGCACTACAACAACCACACGAACCTCACGAAGGAGCTCGTAGACGCGGAGATCTGGGACATGGAAGATCTCGCGGAGGCGGTGGATCACCACGCGGCGTGCGCGTTCTTCACGATGAAAAAACTCCACGAAGACGCCGAGCTGGTGTTGTGTCCGTACAACTACATCTTCGACGCGAACATCCGCGACGCGATGGGGATAGAGCTCGGCAACGCCGCGGTGGTCATCGACGAGGGGCACAACGTCGAGGACGTGTGTCGAGAGGGCGCGTCCAAGGAGATTCCGCTGTCGGAGATGGAGAAGGCGGTGACGGAGCTCGAATTCGTCGGAAAAAAATTCGAATTCGAGGCGAGCGCGGCGCAGCGGCTGATCAATCCGCTCGCGGGATGGCTCAAGCGCGAGCTCACCGCGGCGCGCGACGCGGCGAACCGCGCGGGCCGGAGCTACTTTAACGACTTCAACGGCCCCGTGAAGGCGGCGCCGGGCGACCGGATATGGAAAGGCCCGGACGCGGCGGCGGCGATTTGCGCCGGAGAAGCGCTCGGTCCTTCCCCCGCGTTGATCCGCCGCATGCGCGCGGAGTACCCCGCGATGTACGCCACGGACCGAGACGCCGCGGAAGCGCACGTCCGCGCGCTGCTGCGCGACGCGCAGACCGCGACGAGCTACGACGGCGCGCTGATGAAGAACGTCAACGAGAGCGCGCACAAGTACGGCGCCGGCAGCGTCGCGCTCGTCAACGCGATCGCGGCGTCTCTGACGACGACGCTCGACAACGCGAGGGACTTCGCCGCGTGCGCGTGCGCGGACATCGACAACCCGGGGTCGGGCGTGAACAACAACAACTCGCGGTTTAAACCCAGGCCCGGCCTCGCGCTGTGGTGCCTGCGTCCCGCGGTCGCGTTTCGATCCGTCGCTCGCGAGGCGTTGTGCGTCATCCTCACGTCCGGGACGCTGTCGCCGGTGGACAGCTTGGAGTCCGAGCTCGGCGTGGAGTTCCCGGTGAAGGTGGAGGCGCCGCACATCGTCCCTCGACGACAGCTGCACGTGGAGGCGTCCGACGCGCTCGGGGACTTCACGCGCAAGACGCAAGAGTCGGACAAGATGCCCGGGAACTTGGGATCGCTGCTTCTGAAGTACGTCAAGGTGACCCCGGGCGGCGTGCTCGTGTTTCTTCCAAAGTATTCGCTCATCCAACGCGTGATCGACGAGTGGGCGCACACGGGGATGCTGGAAGAGCTCGAGAAGCACAAGCGCGTCGTGTACGAAGAACCCGGCGCGGAGACGCTCGCACCGACGATGGAGACGTTCAAGGACGCGATCGAGTCCGGTCGCGGCGGCGTGTTCCTCGCCGTGTACCGCGGGAAAGTCAGCGAGGGGTTGGATTTTAAAGACGCCAACGCGCGCGCCGTGTTCTGCGTCGGGATCCCTTTCCCGTCCCTCGGCGACGTCAAGGTGAAGCTCAAGCGCGAGTACAACAATCACGTGGAGAGCAAGAAACAAGGCCTGATGTCCGGCGGGGAGTGGTACACGCACCAGGCGTTTCGGGCGTATAACCAGGCGTTGGGCCGGTGCGTTCGGCATCAGTTCGATTACGCGTGCATCTTTCTCGTGGACGCTCGGTTTTGCATGCACGACGAGGCGTCGCACAACAAGCGGATGGTGAGCAAGTGGATGCGTAACCTGGTGACGCACTACTCGCAGTCCAGAGAGAGCGTCGGGACGGTCAGAGAGTTTTTCGATCGGCTGAAGAGCGACCCGCCGGGGCCGAAGCCGGTGCCGACGCCTCCGAAGGCGGAGCCGGCGGCGGCGTTTGCGATCGACTCCTCCGCGGAGTGAGCGGGCGGGGGTGGGCCCCACGGGGGGTGAGAGGGGGGAGAGTGTACGAGTAGAGCGAAGAGGCGAAATGCCCGCCGCGCGTTGAGGTAGACGTGTGCCTCGTAACGAACGAACGATGACAGTTATCGACGACGACGAGCGACGAAAACGCGACGAGCTGACGCTACTTGACGATCGCGATCGCTCTAAAATCGCAGCCTCGGAATTCGTTCGCGCTCAGAACCGCGGGCGGATGGCGGATGTGGACCCCGCGGCCGAGGCGGCCGCGGCCGCCGAGGGCGCCGCGGGCCCTCCGCGGGACGTCTTCACCTCCCCCGACTTCAACGCCGTCGACTTCATCAACCGCCTGTTCCCCGACGAGACGCACCTCGGCGGAGTGGACCCGCTCATCGCGAAATTGAGGCTGCGCGTGCGGAGGGTAGACGACGAGATCTTGAGCGCGGTGAGGTCGCAGAGCACCGGCGGCGCGCGCGCGAAGGCGGACCTCGAGAACGCGCAGTGCGCGATCGCGGAGCTCAACGCGCGGATCGCGGAGATCAAGGCGAAAGCGACGCAAAGCGAGGTCATGGTCCAGGAGACGTGCCAGGACATCAAAAAGCTCGACTACGCGAAGCGGCACCTCACGGGAACGATCACCGCGCTTCGACGCCTCAGCATGCTCGTCGGCGCGCTCGAACAGCTCGAACAGATGGCGATGCGCCGCCAGTACCGCGACAGCGCGAACCTCCTCGAGGCGGTCAACCAGCTCGCGACGCACTTCGAGGGATACAACGACATCCCTAAAGTCGCGTCGCTGCAGAAGAAACACGCCGACGTCCGCGGCTCGCTGCGATCGCACGTCATCGAAGACTTCCACACGACGTGGCAGCCCACGGTGATCGAGCGCGACCCGGGCGCGGCGCCGCGCCTCGCGGACGCGTGCCTCGTCGTCGACGCGCTGGAGCCGTACGTCAGAGAGGAGCTCATAGGCAACATCACGAACAAAGAGATGCTCAACTACGCGACGACGTTCGACGGGTCGTACGGCGACCACGACGCGAAGCTCGAGTCCACGGAGCGACGCTACGCGTGGATCAAGCGCAACCTGAAACAGAAGGAGGAGATGTGGGGGGTGTTTCCGGAGCGATGGAAAGTCCCGCAGCTCCTGTGCATGTCGCTGTGTAAGCTCACGCGGACGAATCTCGCGCTGTTGTTGGACGACGACGCCGGCGCGACGGAGGTGCCGGCGTTGCTGCAGGCGTTGCATCGAACGATCGAGTTCGAGCGGGACCTCGACGAGTACTTCGGCGTCGGGAAGGACGGCGGCGGAGGCGGAGGCGGCGGCGGCGCCAACGACGGTGGTAACGCCGGCGACGAGAGCGTTCATGACGACGACGACGACGACGCGTACGACGGCGAGGACGGCGCGAGCGCCGGGGAGGTCCGCGCCAAGTACGAGGCCCGTCGCAAGGCGAAGGAAATCTCCGAACAACGCGGCGGTCGAGCGCTGCCGATGGACTCCGCCGCCGCGGCGGTCGCCAAGGCGAGCTTCCGCGGCGTCATAAGCACGTGCTTCGAGGACCACATGGGAGCGTACGTCGAGCTCGAGGAGCGCCAGCTGTTGGAGTTCGTCGACCAACTCGTCGCGGAGGAGACGTGGGGGAAGCGCACGCCGAAGGAGAAGAGCATCCTGCACAACATCAACAACCAGACGAGGTCGGTGTCGTTGGGCGGCGCCGCCGCGGGCGAGGTCCTCGCGTCCGCGGGGCAGGTGTTCATCAACATCAAGAAGGTGTTCAAGCGGTGCTCGAACTTGACGCGCGGGAAGCCGCTGCTCGCGTTGCACGGGGTGTTCTCGCGGGTGTTACGGAAATACGCGGCGGGGTTACGCGCGCGCGCGGAGGCGGCTGGGAAAATTTTAAACGACGTGAAGAAACATCCATCCGGGAGCGCGGGGCCCGACGGCGACGACGCGCTCGTGGACGAGGTCAAGTGCCTGTGCCTCATCGTCAACACCGCGGAGTACTGCAACGAGACCGTGGGCCCGCTCGCGGAGAGCATGCGACGGATGCTGGACGGCGCGCAGCTGAAAGAGGCGGTGGACGCGAGCGACGCCGAGGACGAATTCGCCGGCTGCGTCGGCGGCGCGTTGACGACGATGACGCTCGGCATCGAGGCTCGCGCCGAGCTCGCGAGCGGGATCGCCAAGGTGAACTGGTCCGCGCTCGAGATGGTGGGCGACCAGAGTCCGTACGTGGACGCTCTAACGCGCGCGCTCGCGGCGTTCGTCCCGACGGTGAAGGCGACGGTGAGCGCGAATTACTTTCGATTCTTTTGCGAGAAGCTCGCCGGCGGCGTCGCGCCCAAGCTGTACCGCGCGACGTTCAAGTGCAAGCGCTTCTCGGACGCGGGCGCGCAGCAGTTCCTGCTGGATCTCCACGCGGTGAAGACGATCCTGATCGACCTTCCGACGACGCAGTCCGCGGACTACGAGGAGGACCTCTCCGGGCGGACGGAGAAGCCGACCTACGTCGTGCCCCCGGCGTACGGAAGAGCGGTGACGCGAGAGATGGGGAAGTGCGAGGCGCTCGTCAAAGTCATCCTCTCCCCGCACGAGGGGTTGGGGGACACGTACAGGGCGCTGCTTCCGGACGGGACCCCCGGGGACTTCCGCGCGGTGTGCGAGCTGAAAGGGATGAAGAAGGCGGACGTTTCCGCCGCGACGGAGGCGACGTTCGGTCGCGCGGGCGCGCAGGCCAATTTGGTCGCGGCGGGCGCGGTGGCGTCTTCGTCGTCATTCGCGGGCGGCGGCGGCGCGTCGGCGTCCGCGAGTAGTTTCGGGCACCACGCGCGCGGGAGCTCCGGGGGGAGCGGAAGCGGCGGTGGCGGAGGGTTCGGCGGCGGCGGCGGCGCGACCGGGTTCGGCGGCGGCGGCGGCGGCGGCGGCGGCGGCGGGCATCACGCGAGGACCAACTCTGGCGGCTCCGGCGCGGGGAATAAATTCGGCGCGATGTTTAAGGGCCTCTCCGGCGGCGGCAGCGGAAGCAGTCTGAACCAGATGATGGACCGAGCGAAGGACATGACGCAGAAGGCCGCGGTCGGGATGAAGGAGATGGGCGAGAAGGCCGCGGACGGGACGAGGAAGCTCATGCAGGACTCCTCTGGGACGCCGAGGCGATAGGACGTACGGTGGTGGTTTCGATTCATTCGTTCGACTTCCACGAGTTAATAGAGTTAACATCGACGCCGCTCGCCATCCCCCCGCCTCCTCCCCGCTACTCACTCGGCCATCGCGGACGGCTTCGTCATCCCGCGCCCCATCAGCCCTAACTTCTTCTTCCCGACGCGCTTACCGTCCGTCTTCTCGTCCCTCGGCGCGCTCTGCCGGATGCACATCGCGCGCACGTTCGCCTCCGCCCTGGACACCTCCGCGAGCGCCTGCGCTCGGCTCTGCGAGCGCAGCTTCATCGTCGTCCGCCCGAGCGGCCTCCTCGTCGCGCCGTCGTCCTCGTCCTCGAGGTCGTCGTCGTCGTCGCTCGAGGAGCTCGTCGCGTCGTCCGAGTCGTCCTCCAGCGCGGGCTTCCTCCCGACTCGGACGTTGTCGAACGCCGCGCGCTCTTCGAACAGCGCGTTCGACACGAACGGCAGCGGGGAGGGCTCGCCGTCGTCGCGCGACGCCGCCGCGTCGTCGTCCGCCGCGCGATGCCGCCGCGCGTACTTCTTCAGCGCGAGTATCGGGCTCATGACAGGGCTCGCGGCGGCGGCGTCGTCGCCCTCCACGCATATCAACAGCGCCGGCGCGGCGACAGGGGACGGGTCCGCCATCGCGCGGAGTCGGAGTGGTGGACGATGTCATGTCACGTCGCGCAACGGACGACTTTTTGCAGATGGTATGGATTTATAATGATGACAACAACGCCTCTACTGACGGACGGGCGGCCCCCGGCATCACAGCTCGTCGTGCGGCGCCGCGCACGCGACGTCGCAAAACTTCTCCTGAAAGTACCACTTCCTCGCGTACCCCGCGAGGTGCTTCGCCCAGAACGTCTCGTAGAAGTGATCCTTCTTTTCCGCATCCGCCGCGACGGCGACGCACGTCGACTTTAAATCCTTCGCGTGACTCCCCGCGACGCGCGTCGACTCGTGGTGATCGCTCACGGCCCAGTCCAAACCGGGCCCGGCGAGGACGACGCCGCCGGTCTCGATATTGAACGCGGCGTAGTGCGACCAGTAGTCTTCGTCGTCGCACGCGCCCTTCATGGTCATCGCGAGCGCGTCGTCGGGAATTTTTTTCTTCTGCTCGCGCCCCTTCTCCAGCTCTTCGTGGTCGTCGTCGTGGTGCGCGCGATGCGCGGCGTAGAAGGACGTCTGCAGGCGATGCGCGGCGGCTTTGCAGTACGCGCACTTCCCGGGCTCTTGCCCCGGGAACGCGCGGTACGTCGGCTTGGTCTTCTTGATCGGCGTCGGCGGCGGGGCGTTCGGATCGATCGCGGGATCGGCGGGCGCGGGCGATTTCGATTTCGCGGGGACAGCCGCGGCGGTCGGCGTCGGCGTCGGCGTCGGCGTCGGCTCGGGCTCGGGCTCGGGCTCGGGTTCCGGCGCGACCTCCACCGCCGCGGACGCGGGCTCCGGCGTCGGCGTCGCGGTGGGCGCGTCCTCCGCGGGGTCGGTCGCCTTCTCAGGCGCCACCTCGACCGCGGTGGGGTCGACGGACGCGGGCGCCGCTCGCTTCGTCGACTTTCGCTTATCGCGCGTCGCGGACGACGGCGACGACGCGCGGCCGGAGCCGGACGACTGCGCGTTCGCGACGCCGAGGAGCGCGAGGAGGAGGAAGAGCAGCAGCGCCTTCGCGCGGGAGCGCATCGTGAACGAGCGCGCGTGTCGTACTGATGAGGACGAGGGCGGGGGCGCGACGATTACGAATCACAAGTAAGGACGAAGCGCGAGCTTTTCGGTTCATCGCTTTCACTGCACGTCTCTCCTCCAAACGTAAGACTACGTAGGCACACTCCGCTCCGACTCCGCCGCTTCACACCTTCTCCAGGTCGGGCAAATCGTCGTCGTCGTCGCTGTCCGGCTCGGCGCAGAAATTCTCGGCGGAGTCATCGTACATCTGCGGATCGACGAGGAGAGAGGAGAGGGTCAGCGCGAGAGGACGACGAACGCGCACGGCGGCGGGCGAATAAATAAAAATGTTTTCATCAGTCGGCGTCGGCGTCCTCTCCGCCCCGCGTCTCGTCTCGTCACGCACCGACAGGTCCTTCAGCTTGCTCAAGTCGAACGCGGCGTCTGGTTAAATAGAGAGGGGAGGGGCGGTGCGGAGGATAAATAGAATAACTTAGCGACGACGACGACGACGCGAGCGCGACGGCCGCGACGACGAGCCGCCGGCGAAGCGAAAAAAAAGTTCTTCAAAAAAAGCGCCTCCGTCGCGCGCGTCGCACCTCGGTCCAGCTCGTCCTCCTCGTCCTCGTCCACCCACTTGTCGAAGTCCGTCTTCACGTGCGGGAACTTCCCGTTCGCTTTCAGCAGCCGCGGCCAGTGCGGCCCGGAGTGCGGTCGGTAGGGTCGAAACGAAAGCGCGAGTTCGCGGTCAGAGACGGACCGACGGACGTCGAGGACTGAAGCGGAGAGAAAAGAGAAGAGAAGAGAAGGAAAAACAACGAACGAACGAACGAATGAATCATCGAGCGGGCGTCTCCCCACCTCCTCCGTCTTCATCACCATGACCACGATCTGCCTCGGCGCGACGGATATCTTCGACGCCTTCGCGTCGATCGGATGCAAAAACTCGAGCTCGAGGTGGTACTCGTGCCGTCCCTCCACCCCCGGCGCGCCCGCGGTCGTCGTCATCTTGAGCACGCCGTCGTCGCTCAGTTCGACGACGGGCGCGGTCGCGTCGTGGAGGTCGATCGTGAGGAAGAGACGGTCTTTGCGCTGCGCCCAGAGGACGACGGGCGTGCGCGTCGTGACCGTCATCGCGCGCGTCGTCGCGCGCGTCGATCGGGTTCGGCGGGTCGGCGGGCCCGCGCGAGTGGGGGCGCGGAGGAGCGCGGGGCGCGACTCGGTGTGACGACGCGGACGTCGCGTCGTCCGATGGAAAAACGCTCAGCTCAGCAGCGCGCGGCGACGACGACCGCGACGCGACGCCGACCGATTTTTATTCCGCGCGACGACCGATCGCGGGCCGTCCGCGGCGTCACTCTCCGCGACGGCGGGCGGTCGACGACCGCGGTCATGCCGCGGGGGGACCGCGGAGACGCGCCGAAGCGGTGCGTCGTCGTCGTCGTCGTCGCGTCGAACCCGCCCTCGTCCGCGCGCCTCCGAACCCGCGCGCGCCTTCGACGTCGAAAACCAAATCTCGTTCTTTTCTGGTGCCGACCTAAACGCGCGACGCTCCGCTCATCGTCCCTCCGTCCGTCCACCCGCAGGCGCTCGCGGAGCCGCAGCCGCGACCGGCGCGACCGGTCGCGGGGGAAAGACCGCGGTCGGAGCCGCGATCGATCGCGCTCGAGCGCGTCGAGCGCGTCGCGGTCGTCGCGGTCGCGGTCGCGGTCGCGGTCGCGGCGCGAGAGCAAGAGCCGTCGACGACGACGGCGCCGGCGTCGGAGCGATCGGAAGAAGAGCGAGCGTCGGAAGAAGCGGCGCCGACGACGCTCCCGCAGCAGCAGCAGCAGTCGCAGCAGCAGCAGCAGTCGCAGCAGCAGCAGCAGCAGCTCGAGCCGCAGCGCGTCGTCTTCGTCCTCATCGCGCGGCGGGCGCAAGAAGAAGAGGCGCGACCGGGACGACGCCGCCGACGGCGCGGCGCTCGCGGCGACGGCGTATTACGGCGGCGACTCCGTCGTCGGCGGCGTCGTCCCGTCCATGCTCGAGAAGATCATCGCGAGCTCGAAAGCGCGGAACGCCGCGAGGGCGATGGACGCGGCGAACCGCGCGGCGGGGGCGCTCGCGGTGACGGCGGAGACGTGGATGCCGACGGACCCGTCCGTCGTGCTCGCCGCGCCGCCGCCGCCGCCGCCGACGAGCGGGGGCGCTCGCTCGGCGGCGATGCCGTCGATGCCGTCGAACGCGGGGCCGTCGAACTTCGAGGTGTGGGAACAGTTCGGGAAGATGGCGAAGTCCGCGATGGCGCCCAAGGTGGAGACGCAGACGGTGCAGGTCACGACGCGCGGCGCGGAAGTCGTCAAGAGGGCGCTCGAGGCGGTGCGCGAAGAAAACGGCGGGAATCACGGGGATGGGAATCCCGGGGACGGCGGCGAGCTCGGGACGTCGGACTGGCTGCGACAGGTCCTGACCGCGGGCGGTCTGAAACCCCCGAACGGCGGCAGTTACTTGGACGAGGACGGCGCGGAGACGGCGGCGGCGGACGCCGCGTCGTGCCTCGTCCCCGAGTCCGTCGGAGGCAACGACGACTGGGAAAAGTTCCCGGAGCGTCGCCCGAAGCCGCGCGTCCCAGCGGCGATCGCCAACGGCGGTCCGTTCGCGTCCACGCGCATATCCCTCCCCGTGTACGCGTTCAGAGAGGCTCTGATCGAGGGCATCGATCGCAACCGGGTCACGATCGTCGAGGGCGACACCGGCTGCGGGAAGACCACGCAAGTCCCGCAGTACGTCTTAGAAGAGGCGACGAGGAGACACGAGCCGGTGTACGTGATGTGCACGCAACCGCGGCGCATAAGCGCCATGGGCGTCGCCGCGCGCGTCGCGGAGGAGCGCGGCGAGGAGCTCGGCGCCACCGTCGGGTACTCCATCCGGTTGGAGACGAAAGCCGGCGCGAAGACGCAGGTGCGTTCTTCTTCACACTGGTTCCCGTACGACCCCGTTCGCGTGGTGAACGCCGATCCTTAAGGACTTTTGCCGTCCTCTCTGTCCGCCCAGGGTCCCACGGTTTCAATCCCCGCCATCGACGCCTTTCAACTTCAACTGACGCCTTTCATCTCAACGTCGACTGCGGAATAGCTCTTGTTCTGCACCACGGGGGTGCTCCTCCGAAGGATGGAGACCGACCCGCTGCTCGAGACCGTCTCGCACGTCTTCATCGACGAGGTCCACGAGCGCGGCGTCGAGAGCGACTTTCTGCTGATGACGCTGCGGGACGTCATGACGAGGAACGCGAGGTTGAAGCTCATCTTGATGTCCGCGACGATGGACGCGAATTTATTCTCGGCGTATTTCGGGGACGCGCCGACGTTTAGCGTTCCAGGGCGCGCGTACCCGGTCACGGCGTACTACTTAGAGGACTGCGTGGAGATGACGAGGCACGTCGTGGAGCAAAACGCGGACTGGGCGCGGTGGCGGCGACGACCCGGGGAGGGATTTCGGCGCCCGCCGAACACGCCGACGCAGTTCCTCGACGACGAGCACCTCAACGAGGAAGAACTCCGACGGCGGTACGCCAAGTACAGGCGCGTTCTATCTCACACTGGTTCCCATACGACCGCGCTCGCGTGGTGAACGCCGTTTCTTAAGGACTTTCGCGGCGTTTCTCTCCGCCCAGGGTCCCTCGCTTTCAATCCCCGTCCGCGATGCCTTTCAACTTCAACTGACGCCTTTCAACTCCACCCCGACGTCGCTTCGTATGGAACGGCCCTACAGCCCGAACGTGCACGCCGCGCTCGCGGCGATGAACCACAACGCGATCAACTACGACCTGTGCGTTCAGGTGATCCAGCTCGCGATGACGATGACGCCGGCGACGCGGGCGGATTGGGTCAACGCGGGCGGCGGCGGCGCGATGGACGCGATCCTCGTGTTCCTCCCGGGCGTGAAGGAAATCGAGACGTTACGAAAGGCGTTACTCGACGTCCCGAACGGCCCGTTCGAGCTCGAGCCGCAGAGGAGCTGGATCATGCCGCTGCACGGGACGCTGCCGCACGAGGAGCAGGCGGAGGTGTTCAAGCGCCCGCCGCCAGGCGCGTTCTATACACTGGTCCCCATACGACCCCGTCGCCGTGGTGAACGCCGATCCTTAAGGACTTTTGCCGTCCTCTCTCTCCTCCCACACCTCGCTTTCAATCCCCGACCGCGACGCCTTTGAACGCCAACTGACGCCTTTGAACTCCACCCCGACATCGCTTTGTATGGAACAGGGTGCCGCAAAATCGTGCTGTCCACGAACGTCGCGGAGACGTCCGTGACGATCGACGACGTCGGGTTCGTGGTCGACACCGCGCGACACAAAGAGAACAGGTACGACCCGGACCGCAGGATGAGCTCGCTGCAGGACGCGCTCGCGCCGAGGGCGAACTTGAAGCAGCGGAGAGGCCGCGCCGGTCGCGTCGCGCCGGGCGTCGCCTTCCACTTGCTCACGCGGCACCGCGCGGACGTCATGGCGCCGCCGCATCAAGAGCCGGAGGTTCGAAGAGTCGCGCTCGAGCAGCTCGTGCTTCGAATTCGCGCGCTGCCGGTGTATCGACAGCGCGGCACGTCCGCCGCGGAGGTGTGCGCGCGTCTGTTGGAGCCGCCCGCGGTGGACGCGGTGAACAAAGCCGTGGAGGAGCTCGTGTTGTTGGAGGCGATGACGCCGCAGACGGCGACGAAGCGAGAGGACCTGACCCCGCTCGGGATACACCTGTCCGCGCTGCCGATCGACGCGCGTCTCGGAAAGCTAATCTTATTGGGCACCATCTTCGGCGCGTGCGACGAGGCGCTCGTCGTCTCAGCGGCGTTGTCCGTGCGGTCGCCGTTCGTGTCGCGCGCGGACGACCGCGCGAAGGGCGAGGAGAACAAGAAGCGGTGGGCGAAGCGATCGGGGGTATCGTCCGACCACGTCGCGGTGTTGCGAGCGTACGCGAGCTGGGACGCGCTCGGGAAGAGCGCGGACCGGAAGCGGTGGTGCAGAGACAACATGCTCGGCAACCGAACGCTGCAGCAGATGGCCGGGCTGAAGCGGCAGCTTCTAGAGGCGTTGTCCTACTCCGGGTTCGTTCGCGGGGGGCTCACCGTGAAGTCGTTGGAGGAGGACGCGAACGCCGCGGACGGCTCCGACGGCGTTCGCCTCGCGCTGGAGCGACCGTGGCCGGGCGGCGCATCGGAGCGCTTCGCGAGGGGCGGCGGCGGCGGCGACGGCGACGGCGACGGCGACGGCGACGGCGACGACGCCGCGACGCGACGCCGCCGTTCCGCGTTGTTGTGCTCCCTCCTCTGCGCCGCGCTCTACCCGCAAATCGCGACGCTGCACCGGCCGCCGCTCAAGCCCGATCAACGGCGCGGCGCGGACCGCGCCCCCCCGAAGGTTTTCGTCCGCGATCGCGCCGGCGCCGACGCCGCGCCGGAGCAGGTGATGATTCACCCGTCGTCCGTGAACGCGAAGGCTGATTCGGGCGGCTGCGGCGCGAACGGATTTCGCACGCCGTTCCTCGCCTACCACGACCTCGTGCGCACGAGCAAGGTGTTCATACGCGAGACGACGCCGGTGCCGCCGCTCGCGTTGCTGTTGTTCGGCGGCGCGCTGCAGGTTGGTGACGTGGACTTCCCCACGCCCGGCGCGGACGCGTGCTTAGTCGTCGACGGGTGGATTCGGTGTCGGACATCGGCGCCGGCGCAGCGGCTGCTGTTGGAAGTTCGAGCCGCGCTGGATGGGATCTTGAAGCGGAAGATTCGATCGCCGGAGCGGCCGCTCAGCGCGGCGTCGCGGGGGTTGTTAGACGCGGTCGTGGAGTTGGTCTCCGAGGACGTCGCGACGTGGTGAGCGAGGAGACTACATGTACACGTACCGGAGGGGGCGATAGTTTTATTGGTTCGACGCGATGAAAGCGAAAACGCATTCGCGAATATTATTCCATCGCCATCCAGCAGCACCCGCGCGCTTCGTCACTTCGACCCGCGCGAGCGCGCGCGCGAGGTCGGGTCGTCATGACCGACGCGGACGCGCCGACGCTGCGGCCGAAGCGCTACGCGATCAAGTTTAACCCGCCGCGGTTCGTGCTCGAGTACACGGACGGCGTCAAGACGCGGACGCGCTCGGTGCGTCGCAGCGACGACCGATCCGATCGATCGGTCCGAGAAGACGCGCGACGTCGACCTCGCGACCGCCGCGCGCCGCGCCGCGTCGCGCCGCCCGTCGCGCCTCCCTCCCTCTGACGCGATCCCCTCCTCTCTCCCATCCCCCAAACGCCGCCGCAGGTCAGCCTGCGGATACCGAAAGACCCGGACGTCCCGCGCATGGCGCGCGCGATCATCAAGACGTTCCCGCGCCGGCTCGACTTTAACGGCGTCAAGCCGACGCAGGTGGAGCGGATGCTGGTCCGCCTGCTCGAGCACGAGACGCGCGCGGCGGCGAAAGCGCGCGCGGTCGCGAACGCCGCAGAAGCCTCAGCAACCTCCGCCTCCGGCGCGGCGCCGCCGCACGCGTCGCCGGGGCCGGCCGCCAGCCCCGGCGGCGGCGTCACCGGCTGCGGCGGCTTCTCGGAGGACGTCGACCTGAACGCGGTGTCGCCCGAGGCGCTCGACGCGGCCAAGGCGAAGATGGACGAGCGGTTCAACGCGCACCGAAAGGTGCTCGGCGACGAAGACTTCGTGTACGACGTGCGGAGAGAGTTTCAACCGTCGCGGCCGTGCGAGTGGGACAGCGACAGCGAGGACGGGGAGGCGGACGACGTCATGGCGCTGTTGCCGTGAGGTGCGTTCTATACAAGCGAACGTCGGGGTGGAGTTCATAGGCGTCAGTTGGAGTTGAAAGGCGTCGCGGGCGGGGATCGAAAGGAAGGCGTGGGCGCAGAGACACGACGGCAAAAGTCCTTAAGGATCGGCGTTCACCACGCCAACGCGGTCGTATGGGGACCAGTGTATAGAACGCACCTGACCGCCGCGCGACGGACGGGCGCGTACGACTACTAGCTAGAGACGCGTCGGTAGGTCGCGACGACGACGGACGCATGTGTAGCACAATAGCGGCGTGGCGTGTATTTTTATATCATGTACGACTAGGGAACTACTGCGGTGCGGGCGGAGCGCTCCGAGAGTGCGCGGACGCGCGTCTCGTACTGGGGATCTCACTCACGTCGCGGGCGCGGTGAGGTTCCGCATCATCGTGATGTTATCACCCTTGAGCAATATCCGCCCGACGGTTTTCTTCGTCCCCTTCTTCTTGTTCACCTCCTCCGCGTCGTCGAGCACGAGGTTCATGTACTCGTCGAAACCCTGAGAGAGGAAAAAAAAGAGATTTAATCGCGGAGGGAGGGGACATCGTCAAGTCGGTCGAAACGAATCGAATTCGAGCGAGGCGAAAAAAAGAGCAACCCTAAACTGAACGCGTAGCTCGACGGCGCGCGATCGCGGCGGGCGACGCGGCGTCTCGACCGTCGGGAGCGCGCGAACGAGCTCCGCGGGGACGCACGATGATGCGGCCCTCGACCACGACGTCGGTGTTCTCGTACAGCCAGATCTGGATCCGAGCTTTCGTCTGCAGGAACCGAAAGATCAGGTTCTGCGCGCGGGCGAGGGAGGAGGACGGATGGTTGGAATGGGAGGAGGCGTCAGCGGGAGCGCGGGCGATCGCCGCGACGCGCGCGCGCGAACGCGATTCGGGGGGGGGCGCGGAGGCGACGGCGACGACGGGCGGGGCGCGCACGATCGGCTGCGTCATGATGCGCTGGACTTTAGTCGCCATGGCGCGCGATGTCTAGGCGCGCTCCGCGGACTTCGCCGTTTGGATCGCCGCCGAGGACGAGCGCGAGCGACGAGCGACCGCCTCCTGTTCTGATGGACGAGGGTCGATCGAGTTCGATCGAGCGTCCGCGTGACCGTCCGCGCGCGTGTCTTCGCGTGCGTTACCGACGTGAACGAACCCGTGCGGCGTGAGGACGGGGCGACGGCGTGGACGTCGCGTCCGCGCGGCGTTGCAGTGCCGCGAGCGGCGCGTCGATTCCCGCCTAAGAAGGCGAAATCCGCGCGCCAACAGAAAGTTTGCGAGCGACGCGACGACGAACTGTGAACAGAAAGACGGCGCGGAATCTCGTCTCGGCGCGCGCGTCACTCCGAGAGGCGCGCCGGCGCGCTCTCCAAGCGAATCGCTCGCGCGCGATGGGGGGCGCGAGAAATGGCGGCAAGAAAGTCGGCGGCGGCGGCCTCGGCTCGGTGCGTCCTCCCCCTCCCCCGCCCGCCTCGTCCTTCGCTCGCCTCCGCGCCGCCGTCGCCGCGCCCCCGGCCCGCTCCGAGACGGGACGCTCGCTCGACGCCGTCGCCGCGAACCCGCGCGGCTGCCGACTCCCCGAGAAACGCGCTCACCGCGTCTCCTCCCGCCCTCCTCCTCCGCGAACCCTAAACCCCTTCCCTCCTCGCAGGGCATCGCGAGACGCGCGGCGCGGCACGGCGCGCACGTCGGCGGAAACGACGGGCGGTACATCCAGCAGGGATACGCGTACGGCGACCGCCACACCACCATGGAGAACCCGGACGGCCCCGGGATGGGAGGCTCGCGACGCGCGGGACCGAACCTGACGTCCGTCATGGAGCGCAACGACCTGGACGAGTTCCTCGCGATCGCGGAGCTGAGCGAGCGCGACTTCACCGCCGAGCGCCGAGGCGCGGTCGTCGTGTCTCTCGGCGGCGACGGCGGCCATTCCGGCGTCGGCGTCGACGGAGACTCCGCGAGGAGAGACGAGGCGCGGCGTCTCGCGGAGACGGCGCGCGCGCAGCTCACGCACGCGGACAAGCTGAAGGTGCCGCGGCGGCCGCCGTGGACGCGCGAGACGTCCCCGGAGCAGCTCGACGCGAACGAGCGGCGGTGTTTTCTCGAGTGGCGCCGAGCGCTCGCGGCGGTGGAGGAGGACGAGCGATTGACGCTGACGCCGTTTGAAAAGAATTTGGAGATTTGGCGTCAGCTCTGGCGCGTGTGCGAGCGCTCGGACGTCGTCGTGCAAGTCGTGGACGCGCGCGATCCGCTGTTTTATCGCTGCCCCGATCTCGAGGCGTACGTGCGCGAGATCGACGGCGACAGGAAGAAGACGATGCTGCTTCTGAACAAGGCGGATTTGTTATCGCCTCAGTTGCGCGCCGCGTGGAGCGACCACTTCGACGAAATCGGCGTGGAGCATCTGTGGTGGAGCGCGAAAGCCGCGAGCGAGGAAGTGGAGGCGGAGGAGCGCGCCGCGAAGACTGACTGGATGGCGGAGGAGGCGGCGACCGCGGCGGCGATCGGCGGCGTGCGAGCGGGGGAGGGCGTCCTGGACGACGAGGACGAGAGCGAGAGCGAGAGCGAGAGCGACGAAGACGCGGGCGCGCCTTCCGCGAGGACCCGGCGCGGCCGCTCTCCCGCGAACGCCAACGCGTCCATCGCCGTCGCGGGAAAGAGCGACGTGCTGACCCGCGCGCAGCTCCTCGACGTCATCGAGCGCGCGTGCGAGACCGTCGCGGGCGAGGGCGCGCGCGAACGCCGGAAAGACGGACGCGTCGTCGTCGGGATGGTGGGCTATCCCAACGTCGGGAAATCATCCACCGTCAACGCGCTCGTCGCGGCGAAGAAGACCGGGGTGAGCTCCACGCCCGGGAAGACGAAACACTTCCAGACGCTCAACCTGGGCGAAGGGCTGATGCTCGCGGACTGCCCCGGTCTCGTGTTCCCGTCGTTCACCGCGTCCAGGGCGGAGCTCGTGTGCAACGGCGTGTTGCCCGTGGATCGACTCACGGACGTCCGGGAACCCGTCGCGGTGGTCGCGGCGCGGATCCCGCGCGAGGCGTTCGAGGCGACGTACAAGGTGAAGCTGCCGCTGCCGGCGCTGCACGAGGATCAGAAGAGACGCGCGACCGCGGGAGAGATGCTCAGGGCGTACTCCGCCGCGCGAGGGCTGACGGTGCAGCACGGACGGCCGGACGAGCAGAGGGCGGGGCGCGCGATTTTGAAGGATTTCACGCAGGGGAAGCTGTTGCACTGCGTCGGGCCGCCCGGGTACGTCGGTCCGCTCGGGATCGACGGCGGCGGCGGCGCGATCGGCGGCGAGGATGGCGACGGCGATCTTCTCGACGAGGACGGCGTGTTCAACGACCGCGGAAGAGACGTCCGCGGCGACGGCGACGGCGGCGATGGCGGCGGCGGCGGCGGCGACGGCGGCGAAATCGAGGACGACCCGCTCGCCGCGCAGCTCCTGCGAGAGATGATGCTCGAGCTCGGCGGCCTCGACGGCCACGGGAACGTCACGAAGGAGCAGAAAGAGAAGGCGAAGATCAAGCGCGCGGAGCACAAGTTCCAGAAGAAGGGTGAGAAGAAGAAAGGGCGGATTAAACACGCCGGCGTCGGCGAAGACGACACCGCGGGCGGGAACGGATTCCGAATGGGACGGAGAGGCGGGATGATGCCCGCGAGCGTGCAGGCCACGGTGCGGTCCGCGGTCACGGACGAGATGTGAGAATGAACGTTCGACGACGCGCGCGCGGCCCTGCGAATCTATCTTTGTGTTGTACCCTCACTGCGATGTATTTCATCTTGAGGTTAAGGTTAATAATAATGCGTACCAACTTGGGGTTACGCGCGAATACGTCACACGTTACCCTCACTCTTCCTCGTCTTCCGCCCGCGCCGGCTCGCCAACCTTCTTGCTCCCGTCGTACAGATACGACAGCTGCTCTCGCAGCGACGGCGCGCGGTTCTTCACCGCCTCCGCCTCGTTAATGACCTCCACTCGGTCGGACGGGAGCTCGCCGCGCCGGACGCGTCGCGCCTCCTCCGCCACGACGCCGCCCATGATGCCGTACGCGAATCCCGTGATGCCGCCGACGTGCGGCGTGAAATAACTCCGCGGGTGACGCACGACCGCGTCGTTCGTGTCCACGGGCTCGGACCACGCCACGTCGGACGCGAGGAAGCCCAAGTGCCCGGTCTCGAGCGCCGCGAGGACCGCGTCGCGGTCGAACAGACCCCCGCGCGCGACGTTGACGAGCGTCGCGCCCGGTTGCATCGACGCGAGAAACGCGTCGCCGACCATGCCGACGTTTTCTCTCGTCTGCTTACACGCGAGGATGACGACGTCCGCGTCGTTGAGCATGCGCATGAGGTCTTTCTCGCCGGAGCCTTTTCTGTCTCCGAGTAACGCCAGCGCGCCGGCGGTTTCGGACCCCGCTTCGTCCGCGGCGTCCTCCTCGGTCCACGGCCGCCGCCGCGTCGCGGAGAGCGTCACTCCGAACGGCGCGATGCGCACCGCCACCTCCCGCGCGATGTTCCCCCACCCCACGATCAACACGTTCAGCCCCTTCAGCTGCGTCCCCATCGGCGTCCCCAACGTCCTCGCTTTCAGCGAGTCCGCCATCGCGTTGACGCGTCGCAGCGCGGCGAGGACGAGATACACGGCCATCTCCGCCGTGGACGTCGCGTTGCCGGTGCGATCCGCCGGGATGCGCGCGACGAGAACGCCGCGCTCGGCGCACGCGCGCTCGTCCACGCCCTCGAGCCCGACGCCGAACTGCAGCACGAGCCTGAGGCGCTTCGCGCCGCGCGCGATGATGTCCGCGTCCAGGCGCGTCATGAGCGGCACCGCGATGTCCGCGCGCTCGATCTCAGTCGCGACGTCCTCGCGCTTGCACACGACGACCTCGACGCCCGGATCCGTGCTGAGCGACGACGCGGTGCATCGCGCGGCGTCGGGGAACTCCTCGCCGCAGAAGAGGATCCGGACGCCGAGGCGGTCCGGGATCGGCGCGCGCTTGTCGATGGCATCGCCGGATGGCATCGTCGCGGCGGGCGGGCGGGCGGGCCCGAAGTGTGCGACCTTTCGACGAAAGAGGAGTGCCCTAAAGCGGGCGGACTGGATGACGACTGCTTCAACTTTCGCGTCGAGTGAGTGCTCTCTTCTATCGGGCTACGCTACGGCGCCCTCCGCGGGCGCGTCTTCTCCGCGCGGACGACGCGTCTCAGTCGAACCCGACCGGGACGACGACGTTCGGGAGCTTCTCCGCGCCCTCTAAGATGACCTGGAACTCCCCGAACGTGATCCCTCCCGACCCCGCGTTCCCGTCCCCGTCGCGAAATCGCTTATCGCGCTTTCGTCGCTCCGCGAGCTCCCCCATCGCGCGCGTGATCAACAGCGCCACCTGCTCCTCGTTCAGCGACGACCCGACGAGGTGCTTCACGATCGTCTCCAGGTCGCTCAGGCTTATGAACCCGTCGCGGTCGACGTCGTAGACCTGGAGACGGAGACGGAGCGGGTGGGCGGACGGACGACGCGTCAGGCGACGGACGGAGGAGGACGACGGACGGACGGACGAGATGAAATGAGATGAATTGAGATGAAATGAGAAGAGATCGGAATCGCGACGAGGGGTCCGACGCGCACCCTGAACATGAACTCGAGCTTCTCCTCGCGGCTCGCGCGGTCGCTGAACGCGGCGAGCATGAGCACGAAGTCTTTGAAGTTCAAGTTTTGAAACACCTGCACGACTCGAGACGCGAGCGGGGATATCGCGAGCTCGGGGATGGACAGGAGCTCGTCCTCGGAGACGTATCCCTTGTGCCGCTTGTCGAGCGCGCGGAAGCGCTTATACAGGCATTGGATCTCGCGATGGTTGAACCGCCCGCCGCAGTGCTCTTGAACCTCCTCGACGTCGTACTGCGTGAGGTTCAGCGAAGACGCGGTGAGGCCCATCGCCGCGCGTCGGACGAGTGCGCGACGCGCGCGCGACGCGACGATTACGTTCTGATCGCTCGTCGACGGGCGGCATTAGGGTACGTATGATACTGTACTCGCAACGTTACTGTTCGCCCATAACCTTACGAGAGGGGCCGATGCGTATCAAATGCGTATCCGGGGAGGTTACACTGCGCCTTTTCACACACAATCGACATGCGCATGCGCGACTCCGCGCTCGAGCGCACGCCTCTTCTCCGCGGGGAGGTCGACCTCCCCGCGCGGCCGACGAGACGATGGACGACCATGCTTGCGTTCGTCGCGATCGCGCTCGTCGCGACTCTCGGCATCGAGGCGTCCACGCGCTCGACGCGCGCGGCTTCCGCGTCGCTCGGGGCGGATTCGACGTCGATCACGGCCCCCAAGACGAGGATCCTCCGCGACAACGAGGTCTCGCACGCGGGCCCCGCGGACGACGACGCGCTCCGCCCACACTATTTCGCGCGCCTCGGCGCCGCCGCCGCCACCTCCGCGCTCGACGACGAGATCGCGACGAGACGCGCGGAAGTGGCGCAGGCGACGCGACGGTTTCAAGCCGCGATCTCGTCCCCTAAGACGGCGTTTCTGGACGCGCGGAGCGACGTCATGAGCAAGCGCAAGGCGTTCATGCGCGCGCGCGCGATCACCGCGAACGCGACGAAGTCGTTTAAGGCCTTCCCGCGGACGCCCTCGCCGGAAAAAGCGAGCGCGTACAAGGCGATGCGCGCCGCGAAGATGGACGGGAAAGCGAAGCACGAGACGTGGATGGATGCGAGATCGACGTTCATCGCTGCGAGAAAGGCGTTCTTCTCGGCGCGCGCGGCCGCGGCGAAGTCGACCGGGTTGAACCGAGCGAAGTACTTCGTGAAGAAAGCGATGAAGGCGAAAGAGGCGGCGGAGGCGGAGAAGGCGGCGGAGGCGGAGAAGGCGACGCCGGCGCCGACGCCGGCTGCTTCCCCCGAGGTTGCGCAGACGCCGGCCGCCGCTTCCCCCGAGGCTGCGCAGACGCCGGCCGCCGCTTCCCCCGAGGCTGCGCAGACGCCGGCCGCCGCTTTCGAGGCTGCGCCGACGCCGGCCGCAGCGCCCACCGCCGCTCCCGAGGTTGCGCCAGCGCCACCCGCCGCTCCTGAGGGGGAGGCGGAGCTCGAGGAGGAGGAGGCGACCGCGACGCCTTCCGACGCGGACGCGGCGTCGTCTGACGCGTCCGACGCTTCCGCTCCCGTCGCCCCCGCCGCGAAAGCGACGGAGGCGCTCGCCGAGGACATATCCTCCGGCTCGGACTTCGATGCCGCCGCGATGGAACCAAAGTCCGAGCCCGCGGCGCCGCACGCGCATTCGTCGCAGACGTGTGAAGGCGGGTTCTCGCCGTTTTGCACGGGGAAGGAATTCGATGAGAAATACGGCAACGACGTCCTCGCCGCGAAATGGACGGGGGAGACCCTGGATAACGACGGCGACGCTTCCAACGGCGCGGTTCGCGTCTTGAAGGGAAAAGCGAAGACGTTTCAAGACTGGCTCGCGATGGGATCCAACGCGAATCTGTTTAACAACTCGATGTGCCACGACGACATGTTGGACTGCTGCCTCATCAACACGACCGGTTTCGAAAAGAAACGCGGGAATCCGAACACGCCGGACAAGCTCACGTCCTGCGCGGTGCCGTACAACGACGACATCATCAACATCACGATCGGCGAGCGGCGAACGATTCGCCTGCCGTGCTCGCCGTGTAACCCGAACGATTGCGTTCCCCTGAGCGGGTACGTCATCGCCACCGCGGAGACGACCGTGGTGCATCAGATTGGCATCTGCGGCGGCGGCAAGAACGGCAACGATCGCTACGGATGCCTCCACGTCGACGGCATCGACGAAGGTCCGAGCACGTGGACCGCGGTGGCGTATTACGGCTACGACTCCCCCGGAGGAAGAGACGCGAACAAGGCGGGGAAATGCTCCATCGCGGGTCCGATGTCCGCGTCCGCGCTCCCCGGGTTCGACGCGCGGTTCGGCGGCGGGCTCGACCACCACTTCTCCGACCACGACGAATACTCCGGGAACTACACGGAGAATAACGCGAACGACTGCTGCGCGAACGCGGTGTCGTTTTCGTTCAACATCGTCCCCCCGAACCTGACCGCCGCCGCGCCCTACTCCAAATACGAAGCGATGAACCCGGTGTTTTCGCACAAGCCGAAGAACCGGCTGATCAAAGGACGCGCGCGGCTCGGGAACGGCGTGGACCTGCAAACCTGCGACGCGATCTCGGGCGGCCTTCGGACCGCGCTCGCGAAGCTCGTGTCGTCGTTCGATCGCTGGAACAAAGGGAAGATCAAGCGCACGTACGCCACTCTCGCTGACGTGTACGTCGAGTGCGTCCCCGCGAAGGGCTCGGTGAATTCGGCGAGCGTCGACACGACCACGGCGTTGAGCTTCGGCGGCCCGAGCGTGTCCACGATCGTCGAGTTCGAGATATACTTCTCGCAGTACTACGAACACCTCGCGACGGAGGGATTTAAGATGGCGGTCAAGCTGAACGACGGGAACTCGCACCACGACTACAACCCCACGGGTTTCGTGAACGAGGTCGCGTCGAATTACTGGCTCGAGCATCACGTGCGGGAGGCGCTCGAGGGCTCGAACGCGCCGCCCATGGACTACATGAAAATGACCCTCGACGAGTGGCAGCTGTACCGTGGCTCGAATTGCAAGCGCGACGAGTTCCCGAACGGCCACTGCGTCTTCACGAAGACAGAAGGCGCGGCATCGGACGCGAGCGCGCCGTCGTTCGAGCCCCTGAACGGCCGCAGGACGAAAGTCCCGCCCGGATTGGACGCCGGTCTCGCCCCCGAGGACGCGGTCGCGCTGAACATGCACAACGACTTCCGAGCCGCGGCGGGGTTGAGATATCTCACCTGGAACGCGACGTTGGCGAAGCACGCGCGCGAGTACGCGGAGACCCTGTGCGAGAGCGGCATCACCGACCACGACATTCCGCTCCTCTCGCGACTGAACGAGGGAGAAAATTTATACTCTTTCGCGCACCAGACGATGCTCGCGGGGCGAACGAACGCGCAGATGGCGTCCACGTTCACGGAGGGGTGGTACCGCGAGCTCGAGTACTACAACTACGGCCCGAATGGCGCGCGATGCACGCTGCGGGACGACTACGTCGCGCCGCTGACCGCGGACTCGTGGAAACACTACTTCGGCTCGGACCCGATGCATATGGGCGCGCTCTCGTCGAACATCGGCAACGGATGGAAGGTTGGGCACATGACGCAGGTCATGCGACACTCCGCGCACCAGCTCGGGTGCTTTACGACGCAGTGTTCGGGGTTCGGACGAGCGTTCGAGAAGTCGCCGTCGTACCGCTGGATCGGCGTGTGTCGGTACAAGAACGACTTCGACTACGCCTCCGCGCCGGTGTTTAAAGGAAAGACGTTCGAGGACGGCGGGAAAGGATACCCTTTCTCTCCGCGAGCCGCCGCGTCGATTCGTCTTCTGCTCGAGACGTTCGCGGACAGAAGCGACGACGAGTCGTTGTGTCACAAGAGCTGCTCCGGGACGCCGAACGAGGCGTATTGGAACGCGCTGGACGCAACCGTGGAGCTCGAGGAGGCGCCGGAGGCGGGCTGGACGCCGCCGCCGAGGAACGCGTCGGGTTCGATGTGCACGCGGAAGCAGTTCCCGGACGTGTACGAGCCTCGATGAGCGTGCCGCGCGCGCCCAGAGCTGTGTCCCCTGTGTAAAAGTGTTTTGTACCTTCGAAGGTAGGTGTTGTAGGTGTTGTAAAAATGTTTTGAGAACCTATTATACACTACACGTGTACAGTCAGATGTTCAGTTCTTCAACGACTCAGCCGCCGTCGCCTAACACTGCCCCACGGTCTTCACGAAGACTTCCTCGCAGCTCGCGTCCGTGAACATCACCACCTTAAACCCCGGGTTCACCTCCGCGATCTTGTACAGCCACTCCTTGCACGCGCCGCACGGATGCAACGGGTTCAAGTCGTCCTCCGCGACGGGCCGACACGTCGGCCCCGACCCCAACCCGGAGAGGTCATTCGCGTAGCTCGCGTTCCTCGACGCGCCTCCCGCGAACGACGAACCCGGCACCGGCGTCGGCGGCGCGGTGCCGCCGTCTCTAACTCCACCATTAATAACGCCCCCCTTTTGAGCGTTCCCGGAGCCGGAACCCTCCCCGCCCGTCTTCTTCAGGGATAACACCGCGACGCCGAACAGGTCCGCGCGGCGCAGCGTCGGATCGCACGCCAACGCGGTGCCGATGACGTTTCGCTCCGAACACAGCGACCCGGTCGGCATCGACACCTCCAAGTTCACGCCCCTGTAAAACTCGTGTCCCCGCCCCGTCTTCCCCTTCTTGCGCACGCACAGCACCGCGAGTACGGGCTTCCGCGTCTTCCGCAACCAGAACGCGCCGAGCTCGTTGGTCTTCTCAGACGCCGCCGCGACGTACGCGTCTCGGTGTTTCTTCATCTCGTCCACCATGCGCGATATGATCGCGCCGTCGTTCTCTTCGCCTTCTTCGTCTTCGCCGCGCGTCGGTCGCGTCGTCGTCACTTCGTCGCCCTCGCCGCCGCCGCCGAAGTGCGCGACGAGGGATGCCTCGTCCGCCTTCATCGGCGGCGTCGCCTCCGCGCGTTCCCACCGCTGAATGTCGACGTCGCTCGGCTTCAGAACGCCTCGATGCCAGAACCGCTTCGGCTGCCACGCGTGCAGCAAGAACGGCGACATGTCGCGGAACGACGCCATGAGCGCCTGCAGCCTCGCGGGCGTGCCGTCGCACAGCGCGATCGTGAGCTTGAACCGCCGGGGCCACGCCTCGCCGTGCGTCTTGGCGACGGCGTCGCGCTCGCGCTCTACGAGCGGCCGAAGCGTCCGGTTCACGAACCCGACTTCCCGGGTTTAGGCATACGAAGCGATGTCGGGGTGGAGTTCATAGGCGTCAGTTGGAGTTGAAAGGCGTCGAGGACGGGGATTGAAAGCGAGGTGTGATGGGCGGAGAGACGCGCCGGGGAAAGTCCTTAAGGATCGGCGTCCACCTCGCCAACGCGGTCGTATGGGAACCAGTGTAAAGAACGCACCGTTCGCGGCGTATCGAAACGCGTCTTGACCGCCGTGCACGAGCTTGACCGCGACGTTCGGGTACGACGCCTCGATGAAGCGTTTCATCAGACGCGCGGTCGCGGCGGTGCTGTTATCGTCCGGCGCGTGCGTCGCGTCGCGCGGTGCGCCGAAGCCGCTGACGAGGAAGACGACGCGACGGACGACGGGGACGGCGGTCGCGGCGATTCCGGCGGCGTTCGAATTCCCCAGCGGGGAGTTCGCGGGCGTCGGTCGGAGACCCGCGGTGTATTCCGCGACCGCGGCGGAGACCGCGGTGGAGACGTCCGTCCCGGCGAGGTTCGCCGCCTTCGCGGCCGCGGACACCGCGAGCGCGGCGGCTTTCCTGAGCTCGCTGAACGACTTCTCGCGGCGCATCGGCGTCGCGTCCCGTCGTCGTTCTCCCGGTCGCGGCGTCTCGTCGATCGCGAACCCGCGCAGCCACTCCGGGAGCACCGCGGCGAGGAGCGGGAAGTACACCTCCGCGATGGCGGCGGCGTCCGCGTCGGTTGACGTTCCATCTTCCCCCGCATCACGTTCCATCATCTCGCCGCGAAGTTCGTGCCAGTGGTACTCCGCGGCGGCGACGGCGGCGGGCGTCGCCGGACGCCGCGGGCGAAACCCGAGCGGCAGTCCGCCGTCCCTCATCCCGACGTCGTCCCTGGGCCACGGCACGACCGTGGGGGTCTCGCGCGACGCGTCTAAGGACGCCTCCAAGGCTTCGGCGACTTTTTTCTGCGACGATACGATCGGTCCGTCGGGGAAGGAGGAAGGAGGTCAGAGTCGGTCGGGGTGGGGACGGGGACGGGGACGGGGACGGGGACGGGGACGGGGACGGGGACGGGCCACTCATCACGGATTGTTCGGGAGCGGACGCGACGACGCGGGGGAGCGCACCTGGTTGCTGAACTTCGGCCGCGCGAACGACGCGCAGAGCCTCTCGCACGCGTCGCTCTCCGTGATCCCCGCGCTGCTCGCGGTGGAGAGGATCATGTCCGCGAGGCCGACGTTGTACACCAGCGCGAGGGTGTAATCCGCCGGCGCCGGCGTCGCGGTCGTCGTCGTCGCCGCCGGGAGGATGGCTTTCCCCGATGGGCCGCCGCCTTCGCCGCCGCCTTCGCCGCCGCCGCCGCCGCCGCTTCGGCGGGATCGTTTCGCCGGCGGGGACATCTCGAGCGCGTCCGGCGCGGGCGGGGATCGACCCATGCCGGCGCGCGTCGAGCGCGCGACGGAGTAACGTCGCGGGATGGAAGGATACGACGGCGGAACTTTTTTTCGAGCGAATCTGATGCAGTGCTGACGCCACCTGGCGAGGAAGCCACCTGACCTCTCGGGGGCGCGGGCGGGCGAGCGCACTCGAACGCGCGCGTCTCTTGGTGACACGTTCGATGCTCTCGCTCGTCGCGGCGAACGCTGCGCCCACGCTCCGGCCGCGGGCCGCCGCCGCGCGCGGCGGCCGCGCCGTCGCCCGCGTCCCCGCGGCGGTCCGCCCCGCGCGTCGTCAGATCGCGACGAGATCTTCCGTCGCGCGATATATCGCGAGATCTTCCGCGCGTCGTCCTCGCGCGACCGCCGTCGCGTCCGCGTCGTCGTTCTCTTCCGAAAACGAGAGCCGCGGCGCGTCCTCCTCCTCCTCCTCCTCCTCCTCCTCCTCGGAGAAGGCGCAGCAGAGGAGCGCGCCGTGGTGGAACGCGCTGATCGAGAGGTGCAAGGCGCCCGCGTGCGCGCTGTTGATCGCCGCGACGACGCTCGCCTTCCCGCTGGACGCGCTCGCCGCGCGATCGGGAGGGCGCATGGGCGGCGGCTCCTTCCGCGCCGCTGCGCCGTCGCGGAGCTACTCGAGCTACTCGAGCGGCGCGGCGCGATCGGCGCCGAGCGTCGCCGCCGCCGGCGGCGCGGGCGCGATCGGCGCCGGCGCCGGCTACGCCTCTGCTGGCCTCTCGACGCGAAGCGTGATCGTGCCGTTCGGCGTGGGATACGGGATGCCTTTTTTCTTCTACGGCGGCGGCGGCGGCGGCCTGATCGCGGTCGCGCTGCTCTCGCTCGTCGCGTTCGCGTTCATCGACGCGATGAAGAACATGTTCAACGGCGCCGCGAGCGGCATTCAGCTCGGCGGCGACGCGATCGGGGTGGTGAAGATTCAGATCGGGCTCCTCGGGCTGGCGCGGTCGCTGCAGCTGGACTTGGAAGACATCGCGGAGAAGGCGGACACGTCGTCGCCGGAGGGTCTGCACTACGTCCTCGAGGAGACCGTACTCGCGCTGCTGCGGAACCCGGAGTACTGCGTGTACGGACACGCGGAGTGCGCGGTGGTGAAGGGCCCGGAGGCGGCGGAGGACGCGTTTAACGAGTTCTCCATGGACGAGCGCGGAAAGTTCGCGGAGGAGACGCTCGTGAACGTGAACGCACGGAAACGAGCCGTTTCGTCGTCCGCGGCCGCGGGCGGCGACGAGCAGAACATCAACGAGTACATCCTCGTGACGATCATCGCCGCCGCGGACGGGAACGTGAAGCTGCCGGAGATTGTGGACAGCGCGGCGTTGCGGACGGCGTTGAAACGGTTGGGCGCGATCAGAGTCGACGCGTTGCAAGCCGTGGAGGTGCTGTGGACGCCGCAGGAGGAGGGGGACACGCTCACGGAGGACGAGCTCCTGCGGGATTACCCGCAGTTGAACATCTTGTGACGACGACGGAGGAAGGGAAGGAGGAACGAGACCTTCGAATGCCTCCGACGAGAGACTACTAGAATATTTAAGACGGACGAAACGGGACGACTAAAACGCAAACTGGTACGCCGCGCCCTTGGACGTCGCCGCCGCGTCCGTCGTCTTCGCCCTCTTGCTCGCACTCGCGCCGCCCTCCCCGCCACCGCCCTTCCCGCCGAACCCGGCTCGCGTCAAGATCACCCGCACGCTCTCCCCCGAGGCCACCGCGACGCGCGCGTCGACGACGTCCTTCCACGGCGCTCCCGTCGCCAACAACGTCGCCGCCGGGACGACGCGACGCATCCCCGTCGCGACGCGCACGTGCGCGTCCAGCGCGGCGTCGTCCACCGCCGGCGCGGGATCGCCGTGGATCGCGCGCGACAGCGCGACGCGCGCGTCCACGTCGCTGACCCCGGTCAAATCCTCGATCAACCGCGCGGCGCGGCGAAACAGCTTCGCGTTGCTCACGCGGAGGTCGATCATCCGGTTGCCAAACGTCTTGCCAATCAACACGTGCGCGCCGGTCGAGACCGCGTTCGCGACGTGCTTGACCGCGAGCTCGACCGCTCGAGGCGCGAACGATAGGATCTGCGACTGTTCCTCGTAGCACCCGAGCTCGGGCCCGAGCGCGGGGTCGATCTCGATCGCGCACGTTGCGAGCGTCGCGCGCTCGGCGGCGCGGCGCGTCCGGTGCGCCGTCTCCGCGGCGGCGGCGAACGTCGCGCGGATCGTCTCCGCGCGCGCGATCGCGTCGTCGTGGCCTTTCACGCCGACGGCGACGACGGCGACGCGGCAGCCTTTCTCCGCGACGACGTCCGCGACGACGTCGACGATCGAAGAAGAAGACGTCGAAGACGACCCGCCGTCGCCGTCGCCGTCGCCGTCGCGCGCGTCCGAATCCGACGAACGTTTCGACGCCGAGTCTTCGCCGCCCGTGACGAACACCACGATCAAATCGTCCGCGCCGAACGACCCCGCGGCGGCTCGAAACCCCGGCGACTCCGACACGTCCAAGTCCGCGTCCACCCCGGCCGGGACTCGCATCGACCCGGTGACCACCTGCCACCCGCCTCTCACGTACGCGCGCACGTCCGTCTTTTTCGCGCCAAAGGTGGGCTCTTGCTCCGACGCGTCGATCGCGCACGTCAACCCGACGCCAACGCTGTCGCTGGCGAGGTAGTGCACCCCCGCTTTCGCGCGCAGCGCGTCCGCGGCGGCGTCGATGAGCTGAGAGTCGTTCCGCGCGAAGCGACGTCGGGGTGGGGTTCAAAGGCGTCAGTCAGTCGGAGTTGAAAGGCGTCGAGGTGGGTCGGAATCGTGAGCGAGAGGTTGTGGGCGGAGAGAAGCGCCGGAAGAGAAAGTCCTCCTCAAGGAACGGCGCGCGCCGCGCGAAGAGACCAGCCGGGCATAAAACACACGCGACGCGCCTGAGACAGCGGCGAGTCGTCGTCCTGCGCTGCCTGCGACACCGCGCGCGTCGCCCTCGACGCGACGCAAACGCAGTCCCTCGTCAACGCCGTCGCGCCGCGCGTCGCCCGGATCGGAAACCCAATCTCCTCCGTCGTCTTCACGTCGCACGCGAGCGCGATCGCCGCGTGGATCGACGCGTCGAGGATCACCTTCGTCGCGCTGCCGCCCTTCAGTCGACTGCTTCCCGTCACCGCCTCCGGACCGAGCACCGGGTTCAACGCGAGCCGTCGTCGGTACCGCATCGTCTGCGTGCTCTCGTCGTCGTCGTCGCCGACGCCGCAGTACTGCCCGCCGATGTCGAGCTCGAACCGCCACACCACCTCGCGGAACGACGCCGGGCGGATCGGTTTGGGGCCGTACACGTCCTCGGGGCGGTCCTTCCCCATCATCCAGTCCGTCGGGTCGACGGGGGCGACGCCGGGGAGCAGCGTCGCCTGATGCGAGCGCAGCATCCGATCCGCGCGAGAAAAGGGCATCGGTCAGTTACAGTACAGTATTGAAAGGGGGCGCGATCGACGCGACGTTGAAACCGGGGCGATGGCGGGTGAAACATTGCACGTTCACGCGCCTGATTGCTCGGGTTGAACCCCAGAAACGCAACCGCGAACCGGTGCTTCGGGTCGTCAAATGCCCGGTTCAGCATCTCCGCGACGTACCGCGCGCTGAGCCCCGCGGAGATGCCAATCATGAACGCGTCGGTGATCGCGTCGCCGCCCGCCGCGGCCAAAGCGGCGTCGTAATCGTCTCTCGCGCGCGCGCCGTCGTCCTCCGCGGATTCGACGCACTGAAACAACGCGGCGTCGCCGCCCGCGACGACGTGCCTGAACATCGGCGCGTGCCCGCGCGCCTTCAGCGCCGCGTTCCCCGCGCGCGACGCTTGGAACGCGAGGCGCCCGCTCGTGCCGCAGCCGACGATGAAGACGACCGCGCGCGGTCGCCACTTCCCCGGCGTCGTCGCCTCGATCGTGGCGCCCTGTTGATTCAGACGGACGTACTCGACGATCTGGTCCGTGAGCTGGCCGAACATCCGCGCGAAGTGCGCGCTGCCCAAGCCCGCGTGCCCGAGGACGTCTCCCGTCGGCATGCCGTACATCTCGCGGTCGCACTGCGTCAGGAGCCTCGCGAGGTCCGCGGTCGTCGCCTGCGCGTCGATGAAGTCCGTCGCCGGGTTCGGGCGCTCTGTGATCGGGGTCTCTTCCTCCGGCGGCGGGCCCGCGGCCTCGTGGAACAGCGGCGGGAGATTCTCCTCCGCGCGCGGCGGCGGCTCGTCCGCGTCATCCTCCGACGACGACGACGACGCGAGACCCTCCTCCATCGCGCGGGCGGCCGACAGCGCGCGGAGGAAGCGGTGTTGACGAGAATGGCAAATGGCCGACAGACGGACGAAGTCACGAGTGCAACGACATGACATTCGAGCAGACGAGCAGAAATTTGATCGGCGCGCGTGGGTGAAAAATTGCCGGTGAACGCGCGCGTTGAAAGGACGACGCGGTGCGATGAATCTTTAAGGCGAAAGCATCTCTCGCGCGTGTGTGTCATGTCATCGTCACCGCATGCCGCACGAGAAACGGACGCGTGGCGGCCGCCGCGGTTCGGTTTTCCGAACGACGACGGCGTCACTTCAACGCGCGGCGCGGGGCGGCGCGACGCGCTCGGGAGCGATGTCGAATCTCGGGGACACGACGACGTTCAAGTCGTTCGTCGAGCGCGAGGCCGCGGCGGAGAAGGCCGCCGCGGACGGCGGCGGCGTCGCCGGCGCGCCTCCGACGACGTCATCGACCGCCGACGAAAAAGGTCCCGTCTCGAAGAAGAAGAAGACACTGACGCGCTCCATCACGATGGACCGCCTGTCCACGTACGTCAACGTCCTCAAGCGCGAGAAGGCGGCGAACGGCGCGGTCCCGACCGTCGAGGTCAAGTGCGACTTCTCGTACACGCTCCGACTGCCCAAGAAGACGGTCGAGCGCAAGATCGTCACGGTGCCGGAGGCGTTCGCGGCCGTCGCGATGGCGCCTTTCAAAGCGATCGCCGCCAAGGCGGGCGCGCGACTCGCGAAGAAGAACGACGACGACGACGACGACGACGACGACGACGCGGTCCAGGAGTTCCGAGTCCTCCGCCGCGTCGAGTGCGCCTTCAAGCCCGGGACGCTGACGCTCGTGCTCGCGCCGCCGGGCCACGGGAAGACGTCGCTGCTGAAAGCCGTCGCGAACGCGCTCCCGGACGGCGCCGTCGACGGCGCGATAACGTACTCCGGCCTCACCGCCGCGGAGCTCTCCGAGCGCGCCGTGGACGCGAACAGACTCGCGACGTACGTGGAGCAGCTCGACACGCACCTGCCGTTCTTGAACGTACGAGAGACGACCAAGTTTTCGCACGACAATGCGACGCCGCCGCCGACGGATGCTCAACTTTTCGACGACAAGCTCGAGGCGGTGACCAACCTCCTCGCGTTAGGCGCGTTCTCCTTCACACTGGTTCCCATACGACCCCGTTCGCGTGGTGAACGCCGATCCTTAAGGACTTTTCCCGGCGTCTCTCTCCGCCCATCCCTTGCGTTCATTCCCCGCCCACGACGCCTTTCAACTCCGCTTCTGACGCCCTCGAACTCCGCCCCGACGTCGCGTCGCCTCGCGCGGACCCTCGACCCTCAGAGTCGTGCCTCGACACCATCATCGGCGACGACCTCGTTCGCGGCGTCTCCGGCGGCGAGAAGAAGCGCGTCACCGTCGCGGAGGCGCTCGTGACGAACGCGCGGGTGCTGTGCATGGACGAGATAAGCACCGGTCTGGACGCGGCGGTGACGTACAACATCGTCGCCGCGCTTCGCGCGTGGGCGCGGACGACGGGCGGCGCCGCCGTCGTCGCGCTGCTTCAGGCGCGTTCTATACACTGGTCCCCATACGACCGCGTTGGTGTGGTGAACGCCGATCCTTGAGGACTTTTGCCGGCGGATCTCTCCGCCCGGGGTCCCACGCTCTCAATCACCGCCCTCGACGCCTTTCAACTTCGCTTCTGACGCCTTTGAACCCCACCCCGACGTTCGCTCGTATGGAACGACCCTCAGCCCACGCCGGAGGTGTTCGACCAGTTCGACGATCTGCTGCTGCTGCGCGAGGGCGCGGTGGTGTATCACGGCGATAAGAACGCCGCGACGAAGTACTTCGCGGGGATGGGGTTTCACAAGGGGGGCGCGGAGGAGGACGTCGCGGACTGGTTCGTGAACCTCGTCGCGGACCCGTCGAAGACGCTGACCAGGTGCGCACTGGTTCCCATACGACCGCGTTCGCGTGGTGAACGCCGTTTCTTAAGGACTTTTCCCGGCGTGTATCTCCGCCCAGCCATCGCTTTCAATCCCCGACCTCGATGCCTTTCAAATCCACCTGACGCCTTTCAACTCCACCAGGGGGAGCAAAGCCGACGTGAAAGCGCTCGCGAGCGCGCCGACGACGACGGACGCGCTCGAGAGCGCGTGGAGGGCGTCCAAGTCGCCGATGCGCGAGGCGTCGATCGCGACGACGGCGACCCCCGCGGACGTGGCGCTGACGTCCGACTTCGCGAGAGCGCAGTACGGCGCGTCGTACCCGCGATCGCGGATGACGCACTTCAAGAGCGTCCTGGCGCGCCAGGCGACGGTGACGGCGCGGAATAAGCTCTTCGTCATGACCAGGCTGTTCAGCGCGCTCGTGACGTCCGTCGTTCTCGGCAGCGTGTGGTTCGACCTGGACAAAGAGAAGGGCTTCGAGAAGCTAGGCATGCTGCTCTTCTGCGTGCTGCACATCTCCTTCAGTAACTTCAGCGAGCTCACGTTTAGCGTGGAGCAAAAATACGTGGCGTATAAACACCTGGACGGGAAGTTATTCCCCCCGACGTCGTACATCGTCGCGTGGGCGATGGTGCACTTGCCCATCGCGATCGTGGAGACGGCGGTATTCGCGCTGGTCATGTACCCCATGGTCGGTCTGGTGTGGGCGTTCAAGAACTGGCTGTTCTTTTACTTCAACCTCGTGCTCGCCAACGTGGCGATGGCGTCATTTTTTCGCATCATCGCGTTGCTGGCGCCGAACATGGAGGCGGCGCAGACGTTCCCCGGGCCGGTCATCGCGGTGTTCATCATCTTCGCCGGGTTCTTGATCACGCCTTCGAAGATGGGGTGGCTCAAGTTCATGTACTACGTCTCTCTGTTCGCGTACTCGTTGCGGTCTCTGTGCCGAAACGAATTCCTCAGCGACAGCTACCAGGACACCAAAGTCGCGTCCAACGCCGTGGAATACGCGACGTACATCGCCGCGAACCCCGCGGAGAAGAACACCGCGGTCGCGACGCTGTGCGATCGCGGCGCGTTCACGTGCACGACGATGGGCACGGCGATCATGGACACGATCTCGATCGAGGACGACTCGTCGTGGTTCTGGGGCGGCGCGTTGTTTTGCCTCGGGTTTTTTTGCGTGACGTTTTACGGCGCCGTCCGCGCGCTGAAAAAAGTGCGCATCACCCGAAACGTCGGGTCTTCCCGGACCGGAACCGCGGACGACGAAGAGAACGATGCGGCGCGAGAGAAGAAGCCGAAGCCGACGGACGCCGCCGTCGTCGCCGCCGCCGCCTCGGCCGCGGTGGACGACGTCGCCGTGAACGTGAACGTCGAGCAGAGCAGCGTCGAGTTCGTCCCGATGAGCATCGCGTGGCGCGACCTGGAGTACACCGTCGACGTCGCGAAACAAGCCGGCGGCGGCACGAAGAAGCTGCTGCAGAGCGTCACGTCCGCGGCGCGCCCGGGGCGCGTCCTCGCGCTCATGGGCGCGTCCGGCGCCGGGAAGACGACGCTTCTGGACGTCATCGCCGGGCGGAAGACGGGCGGGCACAGGAGAGGGACGATCACGCTCAACGGCAACGAGGTTGAGAAACAGACGTTCGCTCGTCTCACGGCGTACTGCGAGCAGAACGATCTGCACAACGAGTTCGCGACCGTCGGCGAAGCGCTGGAGTTCTCCGCGACGCTGCGGTTGGACGACGCGGTCACCGCCGCGCAGAGGCGCGGGTTCGTGTCCGAGGCGCTGGATATTCTCGAGCTCCGACCGCTGAGGGATCGAATGATCGGCAAGTCCGGCGACGCGAACGGATTGTCGCCCGGGCAGCGGAAGATCCTCACCGTCGCCGTCGAGCTCGTGTCGAACGCGCCGGTGTTTTTCCTGGACGAGCCGACGTCCGGTCTGGACTCGAGAGCGGCGCTGATCGTGATGTCCGAGGTGAATAAAGTCGCGAAGATGGGACGCACGGTGATCAGCACGATTCACCAGCCGAGCCGCGAGATTTTCCTCATGTTCGACGACATGCTTCTGTTACAACGCGGCGGCTGGCAGGTCTACTTCGGCCCGCTCGGCCCCTCCAACGCGTCCACGTTCGTGAGCTACATGGAGTCGCTCGCGAGCACTGGGTACAAGAAGCTCCCGAAGGGAATGAACCCCGCGAGCTGGATGCTCGACGTTCTCGGCGGCACCGACTCCTCCGCGGCGGCGGGGGAGGAATCCAAAGAGACGGGCGAAGTTCAGGACGGGAAGACGCTCGAAGACGCGTTCAAGGCGTCCAAAGCCGGCGCCGCCGCGTCTGCCGTCGTCGCGGAGTTATCCCGCGCGGAAGATGGCGTCGAGATGTTCTCGTTCGCGTCCGAGTACGCGCGCACGATGCCCGTTCAACTCGCGACGATTCTCGCGCGATCGCATAAAGCGCAGCTCCGAGACGTCGCGTACAACTGCGGCCGGATCGGCGTCCTCTTCGTCCTCTACATCCTCTTCGGCACCATCTACTACGACCTCGACACCTCGGACGAGGGCGGCGTGCAGTCCATGGTCGCCGTGGTGTTCATGTCCACCATATTCACCGGCATCATCTGCATGAACAGCGTCATGCCCGTGCGCGTGAGGGAGCGATCCGTGTCCTACCGCGAGCGCTCGTCGCACATGTACGACGGCGTGCCGTACTCGCTCGCGCACGCGCTGATCGAGATCCCGTGGATCGTGACGATATCGTTCGTGTCCGTCACGCCGCTGTACTGGATGGTCGGCATGGTGGACAGCGCGGGATCGTTCTTCTTTCACATCCTCGTCAACGTTCTCGTCGCGTATTGCTTCCTCTCCTTCGGCCAGTTCATCGCGTGCGTCTGTAAGACGATTCAGACCGCGCAAGCCGGCGCGAGCGCGATCATTCCGATCATGTTCCTCTTTGGCGGTTTGTATTTACCGTACCCGCAGATACCCGTGTACTGGCAGTGGGCGTACTATCTCAATCCGGTGTCGTTCGCCATCATGTCCGTCGTCGCGCCGCAGTTTGAACGCCGACGATGCACGGGCGCGTACCCGGCCGGGGACTGTCCGAACATCGCCGCGTTCCGCGGGGCGTACTACGAGCAGATCGACACGCTCGCGTACGTGGAGGATAAGTACGACATCGATTACGACGATCGATGGATGGGGGCGCTGTATTTATTCATATTCGCGGCGTGTTGTCAGACGTTGCACGTGCTCGCGGGGAAATTCATCACCAACGTGAACCGGTGAGATATGATAGACTCTTCGGAGCGCGGGGTGCGGGCGGACCTCGACTACATTCTTTATGATTCTTTCGCGCGTTGTTATTAACACGCACTTCATTTAACCCTCAAACCACCTCGCGTGTCATTACAAAAAACAAAACTCGACGTCGTCTAAGAATCTATCAAGACGGAGAGAAAAGGCGCCTCGTCTTCGTCGGCGTTTAGTCGAAGAGGTCGAACGCGGCTTCCTCCTCCTCCTCCTCCTCGGGCTCGGGCTCGGGCGCCTTGGCCGCGGCGGCGGCGGCGCCGCCACCGCCGCCGCCGCCGCCGCCGCCACCGAACGCCCCCGGGTTGGCGAGGTAGTCCTTCACCTTCTGCGCGAGGTCGAACGTGTAATCCGTCGCGATGGAAATCGCGAGGACGTTCTTGTACCCGTTGATGATGGCGTGAGGCACCGCGGCGACGGTCGCGTACCCGGTCGCGAGCGACAGGGCGGCGACGTTCTTGAGACCCGCGCCGAACATCTGCGTGATGTCGTCGTCGGAGATGTCCAGAACCTTCACGTCGAAGATGGCGCCCTTGTCGTACACCATTTGCACCTCGAGGCCGTACGTGAACGGCGTGAATCCCATCTTGCCGAGGAGCGTCGCCGCCGAGGACGTAACCTTCTCGCCAGCCTCGACGCACTTGAAGTCGGACAAAATCTCGATCGCGCCCTTGTTGATCTTCGTCGCGATGTTGAGCACCTGGAAGAAGCCCGTCTGCGACGGCTCCATGCCCGTCGGGCCCGCGGGGATGACGACCTCGCACGGCGCGATGGCGTTCACCTTGGCGGGCGCGGGGACGACGAACTCGGCGATCGTTTTGCGCACCTCGGCCATGTCGCCGGTGGTGAAGATGATGCCGACGTTGCCGATGAGCTTATCCGCGAGGGTATTCCAGGAGTCGTCGCCCTTGCGTTCGCAGTACTCGCGGATGCACTTGCGCATCATCGTGTTCTTGCCCATGAGAATGTGGGACACCGGGCGGAGCGCCTGCGCGATGCGACGAGGACGACGGAGTGGAGGCGGGCGGTGAGTCGCGCGTTCGTCGCGGAGAGAGGATGGCGGGGGGGGGAGAGACGGCGGGTCCGAGGCGCGCGCGCGCGGCGAGAGCGCGGGGACGACGCGCGAGGACGCGCGGCGTCGCCGCCTCGTTCGCGTCGCGCGCGCGGATCCGGGTGAAAACCCTAATAAAAACAAGAAACGAAAGGGAGGGAAGAGAGGGAAGGGAGGGGAAGCGCACGCACCGCGCGGATGTCCATGAACTGGCGCGAGCCGACGTTGTCCGCGTGGACGAGGAACGCTCGGTCGTGATCATCGAGAAGCTTGCAGAGACGGTCGTTGTACGCCTGCTTGACCTTGAGGATGGCAGCGGAAGGCATCTTGATAGATTTGCTTTGATGTAGATGTGGAAGTGGTGTGAGGGTGTGGTGAACGGCGGTACCAAACGGATCAAGTCACGCAAGGATGAACTGCAGGTTCCAGTTCTTTTAAACCGTGTGCCGTTTAAGGGTGCGACGCGTTAGCGAGGCAGGGGTGCGTAGATGGTTGCACGACGTGCAAACCAAAGAGACCGGCGGGAGGGCGCGGCGGGAGGGTTTTCTTCGGCGGAGGACGAAAATGAAAAAGAAAAAGCTCCCTTTCAACCGCCCGATGAACCGATTTTCTCGAAACCGATATTGGTCGGTCGTCTAGTTTCAAATCGATCGATGGTGGGCGCAGAAAAGAGCTCAAGTTCAGTCAATGTCAGGTCTGGTCTGTGTAAGGTCTGGTCCGAGAAATTCGTCAGTATCCGACGCGCATCAGTCGGCGTATCAACCCCGCACGTCATGGCGTTCGCGGCCTCGCGGATGGAGCTCGAGCTCTGCTTCGAAGACGTCGCGAGGAACGTCTTCGGGAACGAAGACGGCACGATGACGCGGTGCGTCTCCGTCGTATCCGTCGCCCCTCCCCCCCACGGATGGGATGTCGAATCGCCCATCGGATCCGTTTTCGTGTCGTCGAGAAGAATTCGCCCTCGCGCGTCGCGCTCGACTCGCCGCCCGCGACCGACGTTCCCGACCCCGTCGCTTCGCTCCCACAGGCCTCAACTCGCGGCGATCCTCGGCGCGGACACCGGCCTCGCGCTGAAACCCGCGGAGCTCAAGGTGTTCATCTCCGAATTCGACGTCAAAGAGCGAGTCACCGCGGAGGTGTTCTGCGCGATTTACTCATACCTCGCGTCCCGTCCGGCGACGCCCGCGCCCGCGGAGTGGGCGATCGACTGCGTCAAGGCGGCGTTCGAGAAGTGCGGACCCGCGGGCCCGGACAAAGAGGTGGACAAAGAACTCCTCGTCTCCGAGCTCGAGGGGATGAACCTCCGCGACAAGGGCCCCGTGATCCTGGCGAGCGTTAAGAAGAAAGCGCCCGCGGTCGTCGACTGGCCCACCGTCGAGAAGCTCGCGCGCGCGGGCATCGGCCTCGTCGCGGGGCCGGAGGACGCGTCCGCGACGGGAGGCGGCGGCGACGCGGGCGCGGCGGGAGGCGGCGACGCGGGCGCGGCGGCGGGCGCGCCCGCGCCCGACGCGGTCGCCGCGGCGACCGCGTTTCTCTCGCAGCCTCTCGCGCGGCTCGTCGCGGCGGCGGGCGCGACGTTTCCGCCCGATCACGTCGTCAACCCGAACCCGTCCGCGGGGTCGACGCTCACGGAGGTGCTCCTGCGCGACGACGCCGGGCTCGACGCGTCCGCGGCGCCGCTCACGCCGTCGCCCGGCGGGGACTGGCGCGCGTACGACGGAGGCGGGCAGTACGAGAACATGCCGTTTCTGGGCGCGGCGGGCGCGCCGTTTTCGCTCTGCGTGAAATCGCACCGCGTCGTCAAGGCGTCGGCGAAGCTCCCGTCAGCGCGCGAGGTGGTGACGCGCCTGCACGTGCGACGCGCGGACAGTCCGTTCGTGACGCACCCGAACGACGTCAACGCCGTCTTGCTCGCGTTCGCGACGCTCGTGGCGAACGAGCTCGGGCTGGGCGGCGACGTCCGCGGGAAGGCGCACGCGCCGAGAAACGAGAAGTCGTCGTACCTCGACCTGCAGGCGCGTGCTGCGCGAGCGCGCGTTTCTTCGCCCACACACCCCTCGGTTTCAACGTTCGATCGCGTCGCCTTTCGACTGACCGATGAATCGCCCCGTCCCGCAGTCTCTGTACGGCGCGTCCGAGGCGGAGGCGATGGCCTTTCGCGAGAAGACGGGAGGGCGCGTGCTCGCGATCGCGGGGAATAAAGCCGCGGACGCGTGCGACGACGCCGTCGTCGCGGCGCTGCTTAAGCTCCTCCGAAGGAACCATAATTTCGTGGCGGATAACGTCGCGAAGGAGCTCGGCGCGGATCCCGCGGCGGAGGATGAAAAGATTTTCCAAATCGCCCGGCACCTCAACGCCGCGGTCCTGCGGTCGATCTTCCTGAAGGACTACATGCCGTACCTCACGAGCGGGCAGCACGTCCCAGAGGTGCCGCCGATGCCGCCGATGGCGGAGCCGAGCGCTCCGGGGAAATTCGGCGTCAACGGATCCGTGGAGTTGGATCTGATGTTCAGAGGACTCGCAGCGATGGAACCGGAGGACGGGCCCATCGCGCATAATAAAGGCAAAGGCGGGATGAAGACGTGCGAGGCGCTCATCGCGGCGGCGAACCGACGCTGCGGGCTCCCGACGCGGTGTAACATCCCGCAGAGGCACGCGGACGCGGAGATCGCCGCGGTCGAACGCGCGCGCGCCGTCGGCGTGTGCGCGCTCAACGAGTTTCGAGAGCAGATGGGGTTACAAAAGTGGGGGAGTTTCGAGGAGATGACGAGAGAGCCCGAGCTCGCGACCGCGCTGGCGTCGATGTACGCCACCGTCGACGACGTGGAGCTGTACACCGGTTTGTTGTGCGAGTATAACGTCCAGAACACGGGCGTTATGCTCCCGCACACGACCCACGCGTGCGCGTTGCCGCTCAACGTCGTCGCCGCGGATAAATTCTTCCAGGCGTCGCGCCTCGCGGACGAAGCCGTCTACACCGAGTGGGGCGTCGAGCACGTCAAGAGCGCGACGCTCGCGGGGCTCATCCTCGAGCACACGTCGCGGTCGGAGCTTAACATCGTGGAGGGCGCGAGCGTGTTCGAGGTGGGCGCGTTCGCGAAGGAGGCGCCGGAGACACCGGCGTGAGACGTGTTCGAGCGACGCGCGGGGGATATGATAAGTTAGCGACCCCAAAATCCAAATTGTAAAAACGCACGGTACGTACTCGAGAAGACTTTGGAATACTCCGCGTGTTATTTCACGCGCGTCTGCGACACACAAACAAACACGCGAACGAACGATCTACGACGTCCTCCGCTCGACCGTTTCATCGCTTCAATTCACTCACCCGCTCGCGTCGTCACACGTCCATCTCGTCGCCGCACTCCTCCGGGACTTCGTTGAACATGAACTGCTCTTGGTACTCGACCATGAACTGCGTGCTGCGCTGCACGTCCAGGAACAGCGCGTACACCCTCGAGATGTCCTCGACTTCCACCTCCGCGGACTTGCGTTTGTGCGCGACGAGCGCCGCGGCGGTGATGAGGTGGATGCTATACCGCAAACTCGTCTCGTGTCCGATTTTACACAGCAGATCCTTCGCGTCTTCGGTCATCTCCACGTCCTCTT